CGACCCACCCCCCCGGAGCAGCCACGACCGCGCAACCCGGCCCGCCAGAAAGGCAGGCACCGCCGCGAAAACCCGACCGCCCCGCCCCGACACAGCCCCGCCCCCCCACCCCGCACCCGAGGAGGGAGGGGGCGGGGACGGCCGGGCCCCGGTGAGCCCCGGGTGAGGCCCGCCCCCCCCCGCTCACGCCATCCTCGACTGCAGCCTGGGGGGCCGAGGCTGCGCCCCTCCCTGGCTATAGGGGATTCGAGGCGGTGCCTCTCCCTATAGAGGAACGGGATGCGAGGCTGTGCCTCTCCCGGGCGGTTCGGTCGGCTCACACCGAACGCGCACGCTGAGCAGAACGGACGGATCACGCCCCCCTGGCGGCTCACGCGGTGGGGCTCATGCTATCGCGGATCACGCGTGGATGCGCGTGGCCTCAAAGGGGTCTGAGAGGTCCGGCCTCTTCGCGTACGGCGATTCCTGAGCCCTGGCCTCGACACCTCGACACCAAACCTCGACACCAACTCGACACCTCGACACCCCATGCCAACTCGACCAACTCGACACCCCTCGACACCCCTCGACACCATCTAGGCTGAAACCATGCTCGTCCGTGTCAAGGTGCCAAACTCGACACCTCGACACCCCTCGACACCCCTCGACACCGCTCGACACCGCTCGACACCGCTCGACACCGCTCGACACCGCTCGACACCTCTGATGATCCTAACACAGCAGAGACGTAGACCCATTGGAGTCACAGAGTTAGAAAATCAGGGTTGCAGCAGCAATCAAACTTGGCTGGCAGTACTTTCATCCCTCAGTTGCAGCCTCTCAAGTTCTAGCTCAAGTTGCAGCTCAGTTGCACCCCTGCAATGACCAATGTAGCAACCATGGCAGTACTCAGGTAGCCCTCAGGTGCTGCACAGCACCTTGTACAGTGGCAATGAGTCCTCACACCAGTGAGCTTGTGCCATGAGTGCAGACCTGTGGTCCACATGCGCTTTGTGCACTGGCGACGCTGCAACGGCGACGATGGCAGCGGCGGCGACGCTGCTGCGATGGGGTACTGTAGCCCTTAGCTGCTGGACAGCACCTTGTGCAGTGGCAATGTCCACTGACTCATGGCACCAGGCTGTGCCATGAGCGCTGTGGTCAGTTGCGCTTTGTGCGCCGGTGACGCTGCAGGGGCGACGACGCTGCAGCGGCGACGCTGCTGCATGGGGTGTGCTGTAGCCTTAGGTGCTGCGCCTGCACAGCACCTTGTGCAGTCCTGGCACTAGTGAGCTTGATGTCCTCAAATGTCCCGCACAGAGTATACTGGTTGTGCTCACAGGTTGTGCTACATCAACAGGGGTGCAACTGAGAGGCTGCAACTAAGGGATGAAACAGCTTTGCAGCTGCTGCCCAAGTTTTGTTATGGGCTGCAACTGCATCCTGCCACCTTGGATACCTCGACACCTTAGACGCTAAACACCTTGACAACACTCGACACCCGCTCGACACGCTCGACACGCTCCGACACGCTCGACACCCTCGACACCCTCGACACCCCTCGACACTCCTCGACACGGACAAGCATGGTTTCAGCCTCGACAGGCCTCGACAGGCCGCGACAGGCCTCGACAGGCCTCGACACCTCTACCCCTCGACAGCAGCTCGACACCCTCGACACCGGGCCTCGACACCTCGACACCAGGGCTCAGGGCGATTCTAAGCCCTCAATACCAGCATGAGCTCCTCTCCCCTCTGGGAGCTAGCCCGACAAACGGCAAAACTGCTTGCTCTCGACCGGATGGGTGAGATGATGGTGTTTTGCTGCAAGGGCTGGAGCAGGCGCACATCGCTTCCAGGGAGGGGGGCGCACTTCTCTCCACACCACATGCTAGGGGGGGTGGTGGGGGGGGGGGGGGGTCCGACCCCCCCCGTGCTACAGAACAAGCTGACGCGGGCCCAGTACCTCGATGAGGTGACTTGGACCACTAAGAATTGGCTGGGGCTGCAGAAGCAGCGTATCTCGGTCGTTCTTCACACGGCAATCGCAGAGCAGGTTGTGAATGAGCTTGCCTGTGGCGGGGGTGGGCGGATGCACGGAGCTAAGTGCCTCGCCGCCCTCGCAGGAGTCGCTTAGGCGGCTCCCGTGGTGTACCTGTGTTAGTGCCAGTGCGAGCCAGTCAGTCCCGTGCCCAGTGTTGTGCGAGGGAGCGGTTGTAAAATTCTTTTGTGAGAGTTGGCTTGTGTAAATTCTTCGGCTCCAGTGGTGTACCTGTGTTAGTGCCAGTGCGCGCCAGTCCCGTGCCCAGTCCTGTGCCCAGTGTTGTGCGAGGGAGTTTTGTCCTCCGAGAATTCTTTTTGTGTTGATGTCGAAACCACACCGCCGCTCGCGCCGCCTCGCCGCCGCCGCCGCCGCCGCCGCACGCTGCCCCCTCACCGACCTGCCCCTTGAGCTTCTCGCGCGCGTCATCTCCCGCTGCGACCCCGCCGACATCGCTCGCGTCGCGGCCGTCTCGCTGCTCTTCCACGCCGCGCTCGCGGCGGATGGCATCCGCTTGTGGGCGCAAGAGCGCGGCTTCCAGCTGCCAGCGCAGCCGGAGGGCGAGAGCTGCGCCGTGCGGTGGCTGTGCTTCGCTGCGTTGCTGTGCGAGGCCACCCCGCCGGTGAGGGCGGCGGCAGGCCAGCGGCACAGCCTTTTCATCGATGGCGAGGGGCGGCTCTCGTCGTGCGGCTCAGCGCCGCCCTACGCTCCAGGGCTACTCGGCCACGGCGAGGGCGTGACGCAGCTCAACACGCCGACACGCCTCACTTCCCCGCTGGGCGGCGAGCGTGCCGTGAGCGTGTCGGCTGGAGCACTCCACAGCCTCGCCCTCACCGCCGGCGGCGCTGCCTGGAGCTGGGGCTGGGGAGAATTTGGCCGGTTGGGCCACGGCGACGTGCAGGACCAGCTGCTGCCCAAGAAGGTCGAGGCCTTTGATGGCCAGCGCGTCGTCGCCGTGTCGGCTGGAGATCACCACAGCCTGGCCCTCGCCGCCGACGGCGCTGTCTGGAGCTGGGGCTATGGAGTCTACGGCCAGCTGGGCCACGGCGATCACCAGCGCCAGCCGCTGCCGAAGAAGGTCGAGGCCTTGGCTGGCCAGCGCGTCGTCGCCGTGTCGGCTGGAGAGCACCACAGCCTGGCCCTCGCCGCCGACGGCAGCCTCTGGAGCTGGGGTTGGGGAGGCTTAGGCCAGTTGGGCCACGGCGACACGCAGGACCAGCTGCTGCCCAAGAAGATCGAGGCCTTGGCTGGCCAGCGCGTCGTTGCTGTGTCGGCTGGAGGCGAACACAGCCTCGCCCTCACCGCCGACGGCAGCGTCTGGAGCTGGGGCTGGGGCCTCGAGGGCCGGTTGGGCCACGGCGACCAGCAGATCCAGCTGCTGCCGAAGAAGGTCGAGGCCTTTGCAGGGCGGCGCGTTGTCACCGTGTCGGCTGGAGTCGGCCACAGCCTCGCCCTCACCGCCGACGGAGCCGTCTGGAGCTGGGGCTGTGGAGCTTATGGCCAGCTGGGCCACGGCGACGAGCAGAACCAGCTGCTGCCCAAGAAGGTCGAGGCGTTTGCGGACCAGCGCGTCGTCGCTGTGTCGGCTGGAGTGTACCACCGCCTCGCCCTCACCGGCGACGGCGCAGTCTTTACCTGGGGCGGGGGCGTGCGCGGCTGCCTAGGCCACGGAGAGGACCTGTCGAACCAGCTGCTGCCCAAGAAGGTCGAGGTGTGGGCGCCGGGGCAGTGAAGAGAAGGGCGAAAGGGTGCAAGGCTCTGTTGCTGCGGTTGTGTTGCCGCGTTGCCCACGTGCCTACGACTGTATCGCCACCTGCGGCGTATGCGAGAGTTGCGAGAGGCGAATCCGGGACGGAAGAGATTGATGCACGGTCCACTGTCTCCTGGTGGCACCTCTTCACTCTAATCTCTCTAGGCCGCGGGCTGTGATGTGGGGCGCCCGAGACCCCGAGCCCGACAGACATGAATGCCCCGAGACATGAAGAGTTGTGTGGGACGAGCGAGCTCCCCACCACTGCCCCGCACCACGCTTGGCAGCGGTTTCAATCGGACACTCTCTCACTCGGCCCTCACCGCCCACCCTGGATTGCTGGCGCGGGCTAAACCTAAAGTAAAGAAAAGGACAATCAAACCAGGGATGGTGGTGGTGACCTTTCCACTTACCTCTCCTTACCTTAAAACAAAAAAAGAGGAACTTACAGCAAGTGCATCAGTGATCAGATCACAGATGTCCGGCCCGATGGTCATCTTTGGCCAACCCCCTCCTGCGCAGCCCCCGAAGGCGCACCGCTCGCTCTCGCCGCCGCTATCCCGCCCACCAGCACTGGCAGCAACGCCTCGGCCACGCGGATCCCGTCGACGGCGGCCGACACGATCCCGCCCGCGTAGCCGGCTCCCTCGCCGGCCGGGAAGAGGCCGCGCAAACCGAGCGCCTATGTTGGTTGATTTCGGCTGATCTCGGGGGGGGAGTTCGGCGTGGAAAAGAGGTGCGCACGACCCTCGCGCCTCGCACGTCTCGCGGTCGCGTGACACCTGCAAGTGCAGCCGAAGTGGAGCGAGGGAAGCCGTGATACAGCCAACGAGTAGCTAGGGAGCAGCCGAGTGGCAGCCGAAATGCAGCCGAAGTGCAACCGAATGACAGCCGAAACAACCGATGTGCAGCCGATGTGCAGCCGAGATACATACATTCGAGATACAGATGAGATACAGCCGAGACACAAACGAGGTGGCACCTGGACCGGCGCCGACGTGCGCGTCTCCACGCCGTGCAGCAGCGCCGCCTGGCCGTCGAAGCCTACCGGACGTGTCCAGGACACGTCCCAAACACCCGCGCGGCGTATGTGCGGCGGCTCCGACCCCGGCGTCCCAACCAGGGAACGAGGCGGCGAAAGCTCGCATCCCGTCGCGCAACGCTGCCGTGAGCGGCGGCGGGTAGAGCTCGTGCAGCGGCGCCGCGGCGACGCCTATAGTCTCGCGCAATCTCGGGGCCATCTCGGGGTCATCTCGGGGCCATCTCGTGGGGGAGGGTATCTCACGCAATCTCGGGGCCATCGGGCCATCGCGGGCCATCTGGGGTGTGTGTGTGTGTGTGGGGGTGGGGGGGGGGCTGTGACGCAGCGGCGGCGTGGGGTCGCGCCGAGCCGGTACGAGGACGGAGGCAGCGGCTCCGTCGAGAGCCGGCCCTCGAGAAAGTCGCTCACCCGCTGCACCGGGCAGGTGAGCCCGCCGCCCCCCATCGCCGCCGCCCGCGCCTCCATCGCCTCTTGGAACGCCAAGCCGGCGAGGGCCGGCGGCAGAGCGCCCTCCCCGACCGCCACACCGCCGCACGCCGCCGCTCCGCCACCGCCCGCCACACTACCGCCGCCCGCCGCCGCACTACCGCCGCCCGCCGCACTACCGCCGCCCGCCGCACCGCCGGCCGCCGCACCGCCGGCCGCCGCCGCACCGTTGCCGCCCGCCGCGCTGCCACTGCCTGCCGCGCCGTCGCCGCCCCACTCCCCGTCGCCGGCCGCATCCTCCCCATCGCCGCCCCCTTCCCCGCCGCCGCCCGCCGCGCCATCGCCGCCCGCCGCGCCGCAGCGGCCGTCCTCCGGAGCGTGCAAGTACGGCGCTAGGTCGCCGAACCGCTCGCCGACAGAGACGACCTAGAAAGTCCCTGGAAGGTTCCTAGAAGGTTCCTAGAAAGTCGCCGAGCCGCGCGTTGACGGAGACGGCCACGGCGGAGTTCGCCCACTTGGAGCCTACGTGCTGAAGGCACCAACATCGGGGCGGTACGACGGGGTTGTGCAGGGCAGAGCGCTGTGTGAAGACGAGAAGAGGGAACGGCGCGTGTCCTCTCGAGCGCTGGTTGGAGCACAAGAAATGCGTATCCGGCGTCTAAGGCTTTGGGGCCTCGGTTCGAGTACGACATGCCGTTGATGCAGAGCCTGCGTGGTGAAGTACCATACCTCCAGAGTATCGAACCCAGTGTGGGTTCAGTCCCGTGGGTGGTGCGGTATCTCCAGTGCAGGGCCTGCGTGGTGAAGTGTGCATTCCTCAGGGCGTGAAGACGGTCTTGTGCAGCGTCTTCAGAGCACCGCGTGGAGACACGACGGGTGCGAATGCAGTGAACACGGCTGAACACGGCCGAGTACAGTTGAATGCGCGTCCTCTCTCGAGCGCTGGTTGGGAGGCAAGAATACGCGTCTTCCGCTTCTGGGGCGCAGCGCCGGCCCTCCTCGAGCGACGTCGGGACGATTTGCCCGCCGGGGCACATGCAGAAGGAAAAGACACCTAGAAAGTTCCGAGAACGTTCCAGAACGTTCCTGGAAGGTCGCGGGCACATGCAGAAGGAAAGGACACCGCGCGTCGACGCCGCCGCTCCCTCGGCGGCGTCGGCGGCGGCGGCGACGCGGGTGGCGGCACCGCCGCTAGCAGTGTTGCTAGCATTGCTGCTGCCACTGCTGCTGATAGCGCTGCTGCTGCTCGCGCTGCTGCTTGCGCCGGTGGCGACGTTGGCGGCGAGGCGGTACGAGGCGGGTGGCAGCCGCCCTCGCCTGTCAACCATTAGTAGTGTCAACCAACTATTGTGCATTAATAGCTGTGAAGGGGCAACCGCAACGGCCTGTTACTCATCAGTCGCCTCAAACGAACTCGCCGTTCGTCACAAGGAGCCGATGGGCAGCAGAGCCCTCGCCCTCCGCTCTTGCAGTGCGCCACCGCGAGCTCCTCGCCGTACTGCGCCGCGTCGACGACGCCTTTGATTCACGGGATGCGCTCAGTAGTCCGTACTGCGACTGAATCCGAGTACTAGATTACTTAACTCCTTGGTTACTGAGAATAACTGAACACTCGCCTTGCGGGTGCTACCATATCTCCCCATATCTCCCCATATCTCGCCTTGCGGGTGCTCGATCCGGAAACCCACCGCAAAGTCCTTCGGCGCCAGCGTCGCCCCGCAGCGCAGCAGCTCCTGGTACAGCTCCCTCGCAGAGTGGCCAGCAGCGAGCACGACCGCGTCGGCAAGGACTCGCTCTCCACTCGCCAGCACCACGCCTAGAAGGTTCCTAGAAGGTTCCTAGAAGGTTCCTAGAAGGTTCCTAGTCGGCAAGGACTCGCTCTCCACTCGCCAGCACCACGCCTGCTACCATATCTCCCCATATCTCCCCATATCTCCCCATATCTCCCCATATCTCTCCACTCGCCAGCACCACGCCTGCTACAGCTGCTCGAGAGTACCCCGAGAGCGCCCGAGAGTACCCGAGAGTACCCGAGATTACCCGCAGGACCACGCCTGCTACGCCGCCGCATCCAACGCCGCCGCCGCCGCCGCCGCCGCCAGCGGCACTGCCCACGCCGCCGCCGCCCTCGGCAGCGCCCTCGCCCTCGGCACCGCCCTCGCCGCCCTTCAGAATGAGCGACTGTACGCGCGCGTCCCAGAGGATGTCGGCTCCCAGCCGCAGCAGCTCGGCGCGGAAGCCTAGAAAAGGAAAAACACATCGCGACCTTAATCCCTTTTCTCCCAGCCGCAGCAGCTCGGCGCGGAAGCCTAGAAAAGGAAAAACACATCGCGACCTTGTATTTCTTTTTCTGCCCGCCGCAGCAGCTCGGCGCGGAAGCCTAGAAAAGAAACATCGTCCCCATTGTATTTCTTTTTTTGCCCGCCGCGGCAGCTCGGCGCGGAGACCCTTGAGCAGCCGCACGAGGTTGTCGGTGCCTGTGATTCACAGCCGACGACTGATGGCTGAAGCCCCACCAAGCCCTCGAGCGGCCGCACGAGGTGTTGGCAGTACCGAGGTGCGGCTTGCCGTCCAGAAGGATCCTCTCCGGAGCGCCGAACGTGACGAGCGTCTCGAGGACGGTGCGCACCTGGCGACGAGGGCGGGATGATCGTCGGGGTGGGGATGCGGAAGAAATGAATCGAGCGGTCCAACTCTGAGACGAGACGGGATGCAGGGACATGTTGCATGTGCGTGTGCATGTGCATGTGCATGTGCGTGTGCGTGTGCATGTGCGTGTGCATGCAGCATGTTGCATGTGCGTGTGCATGTGCGTGTGCATGTGCGTGTGCATGTGCATGTGCATGTGCGTGTGCGTGTGCATGTGCGTGTGCGTGTGCGTGTGTGCCTGGCTGGGAGCCGCCTGATTACTTCATCAATTCACCGCTTCGTCACTTAGTTACCCCCACCGAGCGCTCGGGGGACCGTGTGTAGAATAGCAGGGAGTAGCTCATTCGAGTGCGCCGCCGCCCTCACATCTCTCTCAATCTCGTCGCTATCATCACCTCTCTCACCACCATCTCCTCTCCTCTCTCATCACCGCTACAGAGGAGGCTGCGCACCGCCGCCGATATGGGGAGATATGGGGAGATATGGGGAGATATGGGGAGATATGAGGGGATATGGGGAGATATGGGGAGATATGGGGAGATATGAGGGGATATGGGGAGATATGGGGAGATATGGGGAGATATGGGGAGATATGGGGAGATATGAGGGGATATGGGGAGATATGGGGAGATATGGGGAGATCTGGGGAGATATGGGGAGATATGGGGAGATATGGGGAGATATGGCTGCGCACCGCCGCCGAATTGCGCCCGATCCGAGTCGTGAGCTTGCCGTCGGACCTAGAAGGTTCCAAGAAGGCTCGAAGAAGGCTCGAGAAGGCTCGAGAACGTCGTGAGCCCTGCCGTCGCACCACGTTCCTGCGCCGCCCTCGCCGTAGCAAAAGTTCGACTCCGGGTCGAGCACGCGCCGCTTGATGAGCGCACCTGCTCACGGCGGTCTCCCCATATATCTCCCCATATCTCCCCATATCTCCCCATATCTCCCCATATCTCGCGCCTGTTCACGGCGGTCGTCCTCGCCGCCTCTTCTTCCTCGCAGCACGCGCCGCGTGGCGAGCGCGCCGATGGAGCGGCCGCGCTGCTCGACGGGCTTGCCTGATCTCGGGCAATCTCGGCTCATCTCGGGGCCATCTCGAGCGGCAGCGCTGCTCGACCGGCTTGCCTCGTTCGCACAGCGTGACGCGGACGCCTGGTCAAGTCCCTCGCCCTTCAAGACCCGAGACTAGTCCGAGATCTGTCCGAGATCTGCCCGAGATCTGTCCGAGATCTGCCCGAGATCTGCCCGAGATCTCACCCGCTCGGGCGAGCGTCAAGGCCGCGAAGAGACCGCAAGGGCCGGCGCCGATAACGACGACGTGCCTCCCGCCGCCGACGCCCTCGCCCTCGCCCTCGCCGTCGTCGCCCTCTGCCGGGTCGCGCGGTGGGGCGGGCGGAGGAGAGGCACGCTCCTACCGAGGCGTTCCGGTCGGGGGACCGTCAGTGCGTGTCTCGCGCACTGCAGACAGATCTCGCGGTGGAAGAGACGACGAGCCCGCTCGAGTACTGGAGAGACGGCTCTGAACTCCGCGTCTACGCCTCGAGATCGGGGGAGGTATGTGGAGAGCCTCCCCTTCTACCTAGCCGTCGCCTGCGCCGTGTCTGTCGTGTGAATCGTGCGACCGCCTTTTGTTGTGAACTTCTATCTAGCAGCACGCGCCCCTGCCGCAGGGACGAGCCGGCCTGGCTGCTTCTTGAGCCGCCTCGACTGCTCCTGCGTGAGCGTCACGTCGACGACAAAGGACCAGCGCACCTCGCGCTCGCCGCTGCGCCCGCCGCGGCCGCCGCCGCCGCGCCGCCGCGGCGGCCTCGCGTCGAGAGACTTTCGCACGAGCCGCAGCCTCTCCGGCGGCAGCGCCTCCGGCTCCAGCTTGAGGCGGCGCGCGACCTCCTCGTGCAGCGCCGGCGGCACGAGTGGCGCGTCATTGTACGAGAAGCGACCTTCCTCCTCCTCCTCCGTGCCCACAGCCGGAAGCTCGACGCCGAAGAGGCGCCACTCGTGCTGGCCGCGCATCACGGCGGCAGCTCGCAGGCAAGCGGGTGCGCGGGGCGCTGGGCGAGGAAGCAGCGCCGCCGCCGCGGGCAGCGCGAGCCGCCAGAGCATTTTACGGGCGCGAAAAAGAATTCCTATTGCTGCACATCATCACCTGCGAGTGCGAGATAGGGCTAGCAGTAGGCAGCTAGCCTCTGAGGAGGGCGTCCATAGACACCTCACTAGACCCCACACACGGTCTCGTCCGTGCCTCGCCGGCCGGAGAGATTGCTGGAGGTAGAGCAAGCCTACTCTGTCACTTCCTGTTGTCTGTTTTTTGTTGTGCCCTTGTTTGTTCTCTTGGCACCTTGGAGTGCTGGGGGGGGCGACAGGGAGGATGTGGCCTTGAGTTATGTGTACGCCTACTCAGGGTGTGTGGCAGGCTGGCTGTGTGTGTCCTGTGAGCCTGTTTGTGTCTGTGTGTCGCTCGTGCGTGTCGTCATCATCTGTCTAGCGTCCACCCATACCGCGTTGGTGTCCAGTCCGAGCCTGGCTGTTCTTCACCTTTCTACCTACCTACCTGTGTGTGTGTGTGTGTGTGTGTGTGTGTGTGTGTGTGTGTGTGTGCTTGTTTGTGTGTGTCTGTGAGTCGCTCGTGCGTGTCGTCATCATCTGTCTGACGGCAGGCGCACATCGCCTCCAGGGAGGGGGGGCGTGCTTCTGCTCACGCTCCACCCCCCCCCCCCCCCTAGCATGTGGTGAAGGCGCTGGGGGGGTCGGGACAGACAGCCGCCGCATCTGCAGCCCGGCGGAAAAGCGAGGCGTACCCCGAGGGCCCCACTCTTTCCTTCGCATAGCGGCCACTCTTCGGATCGCTGGTCGAGCGACCCGGGGGATGCCCCGCGCGCCTGACCCAGGCGCGAGAAACGAATCTGCGAGGCGTGGCCGCTCATGCGGCCCGATGGGGAGGAACGGGGCGAGCCCCCTCCAACCCACCCGCGCTAGGTCTCGGGTTTGACGCATGGGGTCACTCCCGCGAAACCCGTGAACTAGCCGGGGCAGTCGGAGAAGGGGCAACTCCGTGCACTGACGGTCGGCCGTCAGAAAACACGCCTCCGTGGCTCGGGTTACACCAATCCTCGCTACCCAACGCGGCCAAAGGATATCGAGAGAGAGAGAGAGAATTCTTGATACGAAACCACGACGACACACACCAGTCGACTCGCATCGGTTGCCTCCATGAACGGCGGAGCTATTCTCGCGTCCACACCACACCTGGCTCCAACGTGGACACGCCCATAGCTGGGGACACTACTAGGTCACGCATGGCATCAGAAGTTTTATCTCTGGGCCCCGAAAGGCATCTCTAGCAGCGTCGTTACGCATGCGCCCTCCCCTCCTGGGCGCATACGCCTCACGTCTCGACAGAGCATAAGCCCTTGGTGTGCCACGAGACGAGTTTTTCGCCATCGCCGCGAGCAGCAAGCCGCCCGCCGCAAACAGCCGGAGGCATCGCCGCAGCACTGTCTGCGCTGCGCTCCCGCACCCGTCGACGAAGCTCCCCCCGCGGAAGACCGCGCGTAGCGACGCCTTGACGATCGAGATGAGCGCGCTTGAAGCCCGCCCACCTACTGCCCCTGAGAGTTGGTTACCGAGTGGGATCAGCTCCCCCCCTTGGGATCGAAGCTTCCACGACCTCGCACCCAACACCACAGGCGGGATCAGAGAGAGACTCCGCACCGGACACCGCCCGGGCACAGACCCCCTACCCGTCGGACAATGCCTGGACCCCTCACAGAGCAGCCCACGCAGGTCACGCATCGGCAGATTTGACACCTGGTTCAGGCGTAGACAGCACACACTGGTCACAGTTGCATAGCCCTGCCGGGGGGGACGAGTTCGCAAGGTTAATATTAAAGAATACAAGTGGTGACAACCACTGAGTTCTCAGTGGACGACGAGCGTCGACTGAACAGAAGAGCGTCCCCGCGACGCCTCGGTGCCTCCCACCGGGTGTGACCATCCGGATCAATCGAGCCCGCCTCCGGCGGGCCGTCCCCGCGATCTCTCTCTCTCTCTCAAAGGATATCCACCTCGAGAACCTCGAAAAATGGTGGAGCCCGCTGTCGTGGTGCGCCGGCTGCACGAGGCGGTCGGCCGCCTCCCGTACCTCCCGCTTCCGACCACCGCCGCGCTCGACGACCTGGAGCGCGCGCAGACCGACCCGACCCTCACCCGCGAGTGGGCGGACCACGCGGCTGCAGTTCGGCCAGTGCTGCACGAGCGCGTGGTGCCTCTGCTCGAGTCCTTTCTGCGCACCAAGCAGCGGCTCGGGAGCGCGGTCGAGCGGCGGCTCTACGCCGCCATGACACCGGCGGCCCTCCTCGACCGCATGCTCCGCTGCCGGCCGCTCGCGTTTCTGAGCGCGTCGGACGACTACCGCCTTCGAGACGGCGTGACGCAAGGCTCGGGAGGCTTCGAGAGGATCGGCACCGCTGACGAGGGCGCTGGCCCGCTCCGCCTCGAGCAGCTCATGTCGTACGACGAGATGGCCATCGCCGCCCTCCTCTCCGTCGCTGTGCCGACGCACTTTTACAATGACGGCGCTCCGAGACAGCTCCGAGAGGGTTCGGAGAGCGCTCCTATTCTCTCGAACACGTGACCCGTGTGAGTCAGGCGATCGGTCCAACCGCGGCCGGCCCGGAATCTGCGAGCGGTGCCTTGCTCCGTGCTGCTAGCTGCTCGTGCCGGTCATCACTGGTGATTCATCAAACGGACAATGAACAATAGGTGCCCTGAGCCGTGCTGCCAGCCCTGCGCATCGGGACGAGTATAGTGGTTATTACTCGCCGATGTGAGGGTAGGACGGGCGTGTACGTCGGCGTCATCGGCGCGCGGTACGAAAAGGCGCCGCTCACCCGCGCGCACCGGGCCTCGCACTTTGAATGCCAGTTCCTGTCTCTTAACATGCACATGTGGAGTCGCGAGGGCCGCCCAGCCCTTGCCCCCGCCGCCTCGTGTGTGTGTTGAAAGGTCTGCCTTACCTCACCTCACCCCAGGTGGGGCGGATGGAGTGGGCGCACACGCTAGTGACAGCGGAGCAAAACACGGCCGAGAACGGCTACGGCCCGGCGGCGGGAGTGGCGGCGGGAGTGGCGGCGGGAGTGGCTGCGTCGACAGCCGAGGCGATAGCTGACAGCGGCTCGGGCGGCGGCGGCGGCACCGGCGGCGGTTGCGAGGAGCGGGGGCTTAGAGAAGCTGAATACGTAGGAATGTATTCCGGCGCTCGAGAGGGCACGCTCAATTGCTTCACTGCACAACAGCGATTCACGGCGTTCGCAGCCCTTCTTGAATAAACGCGGATACACACGGGGCGATGCCGGATACACACGTGGCGATGCCGCTTTCACCACCCCGACTCTGCTGGCACTGCTACCGCAGGAGCGGAGGGAGCTGCTCGCGGCGTGGGCGCGGCTCTACGGGCGGGAGCACTTGCCGACGTACGACGAGGCGGTGTCAAGGCGGGAGACGGAGCCGGACACCTTCCTGCAAGTGCGCCTGCACGGTTTCTTTTTGTGCAGCGATCTGTTGTTTTTCTGTAGGAGCCGGACGCCTTCCTTCAAGTGCATTTGTACGGCTGCTCGTCGCCGTTGCTGCTCGACACCGACCTGTACAAGCGGCGGATGCGACTGAGCATCGAACACTTCTGCTGCTCGAGGCGACCTCGGCGCACAACAACGCCTCTTCACACCCTCCACGTGAACAGGCATCGACCCCTTTTTGCGGGAGGCGAGCGACCGCGCCAAAGAGAAGGGCGCCAAGGCGTACGCGCACGTGGTGGGGCTGGGCCTCGGCGTGTGGATGGTGGATGGCCGGCAGGCGAGATCACCCGAGGGAGCACCCGAGAGATCGCGAGAGATCGCGCGAGATCGCTCATGATTAGCCGAGATCTCCCGAGATCGGTCGCTCGTGACCACCCGAGATCACACGAGATCACACGAGATCACACGAGATCACACACGGCTGTCGCCTAAGCGTTTGGATGTCTCTAGGCGACGCTGATGGTGCAAGCCTTCGAGGCGGCGCTGCAGGAGCTCGCCCCGCAGCTGCAGCACATCGACACGCTCGACTTCTCTTGGCTCCCGTCGGAGTGCAAGGAGGCAACGTCGCTCCGCCACGGCGCGGGCTGCGGCGCGGTCCGCCAGGTCCTCTTCTCAAACCGCAACCCGGCGGCGCGGTTGCCGCCCTCCGAGCAGCCGCTGCTGCTGGTGGCCATGTACACGTGGGATGGCAATGCTTACCCCGGCAACGAGTATTGGCTCGGGTGCCTCGCCGCGAGCGGCGACCCCGCCGCCGCGTGCTGCTCGGCGATACCGCTGCTGCAGAACCCCGAGGTGAACGACTACCTGTGTGGCGGCGCCACCGTGCTCCACCCCTCGGGACGCTTGTTCGAGGGCGGCGTCGATGGCGGCGCCAGTAGCCCGTTGGCAACGCCGGCCAGACTGCTGCAGCGCCAGCTTGAGGCCGCAAACGCTTTGGCAGCGCTGCTACAAAAGCAGCTGGCGCTGCAGTCGCAGCAAATGCACGTGCCAGCACGCGACGTGGTCCTGCAAGAGCAGATTGGCCGCGGAACGTTTGGCGTTGTGCACCGCGCGCAGTGGCAGGGCGCCGACATCGCGGTGAAGGTGGTTGCGGCGGACACGAGCGCTGCCGAGCGAAAGCGCGCGGCGGCCATGCTCCTAGAGGAGGCCAAGGCTTTGGCCCGGGTCCGGCACCCGAACGTAGTGCACCTCCTCGGTGTCTGCACTGATTCTCGCAGCCCAATGATGCTTCTTTCTTTGGCTGCCGGCACTCTGGTCGATGAGTTGGACGCTGCCGAGGCGTCAGGCGTGCCGATGGCTGTCGGCCGAAAACTCCAACTCGCCCGTGACATTTGCGCCGGGATGGCTGCGCTGCACGCTCGCGGAATTTTGCACCTTGACCTCAAGCCGGCGAACGTGCTGATCAGCCGCGCTGGGGAGGCGCTCGTCGCCGACTTTGGCTTGTCAATACAGCTGAGGACGACGCTAACTGGCGCGTCCCTCGCTGCCAGCGCCGTCGCAACCGCTGCAGGCGCCCGTGGCACCATGGCGTACAAGGCGCCAGAGTTGTCACGGCCTAGGGGCAAGGGGGGCGCCGTCTATGCGAAGCCATGCGATGTGTATTCGTTTGCAATGCTGCTGTGGGAGCTGTTTGCGGGTGGTCCACCTTGGGCTGGCATGCCGGAGATGGAGATTCAGGCAGAGCACGTGGCTTCATTCCTTGGCGAGGCGCCCATGCGCCCAAATCTCCCCACGAGCGCCCCTGCCAAGGCGCTTGAGCTGATGGAGGGATCCTGGAGTCAAGACCCAGCCGCTCGGCCAACATTCGAAGCGCTTTCCTCCGAGCTCGGCGCGCTCGTTGCAGCTCATCCGCTCGCGAGCGACGGTGCCGGCTCCTCAGCAGCTGCTGCCGCAGTCGCATCCGAGGCGCTCGCTCGCCGTTTGGCCGAGGCCGAGGCCGAGCTGGCCGAGGTTCGGGCCGCTGCAGAGCACGCCACTGCTGGCGAGGCTACGCTACAGACGCAGCTGCAGATCACAGGTGATGAGGTGGTCGCACTCCGGCACGACTGCGCCACGGCCAAAGCAGAGCTCACGCGGCAGCAGGCGCTGCTCCAACGCGCCAGAGTGCAATTTCCGCCTGCATGGACCTCTCAGTCTGACGACGGTGGCGACCGTGGCAGCATCAGCTGGTGGCGAACCGGTCGTTGCCAGGTCATGGTGGATTCTTCCAGCCCAGAGTGGGCAGAGGTTGAGGGGAAGCTAAAGGAGTCCCTTCCGACGGCAGAGCTTGTCCGGCTCGAGCGTGTCGAGGATCGGCTGCTTTGGAAGGACTACTGCGCAAAGAGGGATCGGATCAAGCTCAAGCGTGGTGGCGACGCGAATGAGCAGCAAATGTGGCATGGCACCTCCGCTCTCGACCCTCACAAGGCGCTGGAACACGAGGTTGGCATCGACCCGCGGTTCTCGAGCGCGGCCTTCTACGGGCGAGGAGTTTACCTTGCGGCGAAGGCGCGATACTCGCATGGCGACCGCAATCGGTCGTACGTCTTCTATCCTGACTACCCAGACCGGGAGCTGCGGCAGCTGCTGCTGCTCCGCGCTGCGGTTGGAGTCTCCAAGGACTTTGGCAGCTACGTTAGCCGTGAGACGCAGAGCTTGACCAAGCCGCCCGACCAAACCCCGGGCGTGCTGTTCGACTCGGTGCAGGGCGGGCCGCACCGGCCATCATGTGCTGGTGCGGGCGCCTGCGATTCGACGATGGTGATCCTTTACGACTTGGCACAGGCCTACCCGGAGTACATTGTCACCTACAGGTTGCGTGAGAAGCGAGGGTGGCTATGGTAACCCACAGTATACGTCGCGTCGTAGGTTCTAGAGGGTACCCCGTAAGGTAAGCTGTCGTGTGAATCGTACGTGTGCGAGAGCGTTTTTTCGAGACTTCTTTGTCCGCAAGGATTTTTCCTTGTAAGCGCTGGCTCCACCGCAACTACCCCGAGGCAGACAGGATCTTCCAGGAGACGGGCGCCGTGCGACGCTGTCTCACCTTGTGACGGTGCCCTGGCAAAATCGTCCCGATTTCGATGCGCGATTTAGCTAAGTCCCAGAGCCGTTTACCCATGAGCGGCCCCCCTCACCAGCCTAGGGCTCGCGCTTCTGGCCCGAGGTGTCGCCGCTGCCTCCCGCGCCCTCCGGCGCCTGCTGCTACTGCCGGTCGGCCGGTCAACCTGTGTCACCCGAAATCCAGAGTGTCACTCCAGATCCATAAAATGTCGCATTTGCAGCGCATTTTGTTGCAAACAAGTGTGCAAATGATTGTTTTGACCAGTACTCACCTGCCCCTGCGGAGCATGCGCATGCTAGCCTCTCGTACATGCACTCTCTCTTCCGTCCGCACCCGCACGGTACCCATAACCCATTCCAGAGCCCACCATGCCGCTCGCACCCACCCACTATGCGTGTCATGCCAGCAGTGCTATGAGCTAATCACTTGGGGATGCCCATGAAGCCGAAGATCCTGGCCTGACTCTCCCGCTCACTCTGCTCGCGTGCGCGCAAAGCGTTCAACTCGGCCAGCATCATGCCCTGCGCAAAGGTTGGGGAGAACATGCTGATGCTCCCGCCCGGCTGTGCAAACACGGAGGGGGCCGTCTCTGCATCGCAAGTGCGATAGAGCGGCGCCGCCGGTGCCGGCTTGGCCCTCTTGCGGCGCTGCCCCTGCGGCGCATCCCCCGGCGGAGGAGGGGCCGAGAGGAGGAGAGGAGAGGAGAGGAGGGGAGGAGAGGAGAGCACTCTTGGAGCGCCGCCAAACTACCACCCAGAGCGCTGCACAAGCAGCACACCCCGGCAGCCAATGTGTGACGGCTCGAACCCGCTAAGCCATCCCGCAAGCGGGATGGCCCGCCACTCGAACCCGCAAGAGGGCGTACGAACCGCGAGCGTCTCGCACTCGTGACACGCAGGCGTCCGACAGACGGCGCCGGGGCTAAATCGCTAAAAGAAAGAAAGCAAGCACACGGACACCCAAGGGAGGGATGGGAGGACGACACGCCGCCACCATACAGGGATTTTAAGGAGAGGGGCGCCTCGAAGCGCCAAGAATTCCTTTTTCCACGCCCCGGGGCGAGACGCGGCGCCGTTTTTAGCCGCGCGCGGTCTCAGGCAGCCGCGCGCGCCGCCTATCGCTCCTCCTCCTGCCCGCTTGCCGCAGCACCGATGGCACCGACGCAACTGCTCTCTGCCGCTTTCTGCGCCATCGCCTCAGCCGCCACAGCCGTCGCAGTGCCGCCGGCCGCGCCTGCTCCTCCTACCCCTCCGCCACCGCCGCCATCGCAGCTTATGGAGGTGCTCTCCATGTGCATTGTCGTTACGGACACAACTCAGTACCCCGACTGGCAATCCATCCACACATACTTGATGGCCGCGCTACTGGTAAAGCCATACCCATGCTTCATACAGCTCACCTCTACCAACGGCTGCGACCTGCCCAACGAGCGGAACCAGACCAGCCGCGTGTGCACTACCAACGAGTGGGGTGGTGAAGCCTGCGACCCCGACGATCTGGTCAGAATCATTCCGGGGTCTGCAGAGCTGGTTGCTTCACGCAGCGACGGCAGCAACAGCAAGCGGCTGATCGCCTCAGCAGGCAACGCCGTGTACTCTGTGACCGTCGTTGGTTTCTCCCACCAAGCTCCCGGCGATTCCTCTTTTGCAGATCGGCTTTGCGACGCCTTTGTTGCAAATGGCTGCGACGACGTGACCGTCCCAGACTGCCAAGACCACATGCGGAGCGTTTGCTACCCGTCATCTCAAGCCGGGCGGTATCTCAACATAGGCTTCATCGGATTCCAATCTCCCCTTAGCCTTGCCGCGATGCAGGTCTTGGATCCCGACTGGCGCGTTCACGCGCCCCCATGGAGTGGGGAAGACATTGCCTGGCTGCTCCTCTGGTTGTCACCAGTCTGGTTGCCAGCGCTTCTGCTCCCAGCCGTCGCCGCGAGGAGGGCGTTCAGACGTACAGCGGTGCTGTTGGAGTTGGAGAGCGCCTTGAGCGAGATTGAGGTGGAGCAGATGCGGAGCCGCTTTCACGAAAAGGAGGTGCGCAAGGCCGTCTGCGTGACGAAATGGATGGCACGCGCGCTGCTTCTGCTCGCCATCGGTCTGGTCCCCTGGCTGCCTGCCTTCGCCCTCCTTCCCGCCGCGCTGCCTCTCGCTCGAAGGAAGATTAGCTGCGCCGCGTGGATCACGTCCAGACCCTCACGTAAATTCTGGCTCACGTTCACGAGCGCGGCCGGCTTTTCTTTCTTCGCTTGGCTCCTCGCGAGCTGGAGCCTGCTTGGGGTCGGCAGCGACCGCGAGCTGTACCGCGTCGGGCATTACCGCGATCCCCGCCCTCTGTTTGTTAGCGCATGCCGTCAGCTCTTCAGCGCATCCGACGACGACGGCTATGAGTCGATCGACGGATGGTACTTCCCGTACCGCGGCAAGGTGTGCAGCGTCCTGATGCACGCCATTGAGCCGCAAAATGTGCAGTACCTCGGCTTGACGCTGCTTGCACAGGGGTGCGTCAGCCTGCTCGTTGCTATCCTCTCGCTGGCGTTGCTGCGCAAGGCTGCGGGGTCCAAGGCCTACCCAGGCTGGACCCGCCTTTCATCTTCCTCCTCGTGGTGCGATGCGAGCGTGGACGAGCTGTTGACCGTCACGGCGGAGCGACTCTCCGACCGCTTCGCCGGCGCTGCCAAGGAGCTCGTCGTAGGACAGCCGGAAGAGGCGGCAACAGGTCTATACGGCATCATCGGCTACTCAGAGGCGTACCTTCACGATCGGATGAGGCAGGGCACCGCGGCAATTATCGAGGAGGCGGAGGCGCTCGGCGATCCGGAGGTGCTCGAGAATCTGCGGTATATCCTCAACGCGCCGGCCGGTTCGAGCGACCGCAGGCCACCCCCGCCCTCCCTGCCGCCCTCGCCCCCTCCGCCCTCGCCCCCTCCGCCCTCGCCCCCTCCGTCGCCCTCCCCACCTCTGCCTCCTCCGCCCTCGCAGCTTTCAGAACGGTTGGCGGCGCGATTGTTGGCCGGACGGTTCCAGCCTCGGAGGGCGCGAGGGTATGGTGCTCGCTGACTTTGTGGCGCTGCCGGTGGCTCGCAGAGCGCGGCTGGAGGAGGCGCACGTGGTCGCGTTGCGGCTCTACTCGACCGCCGCCTTCCGCGCGCTCAATGGACCGATGCGCCAGCTCAAAGTGAGCAACTACCGCAAAGGAGAGGACGGACTCCCTCTCCCGCTCGAGCCCCCGCAGCTGGCCGCGCCGCACCCGCAGCCGGCGACAATGGCCTTCATCTACGAGGCGCTCAAGCGGATGCGCGCCGTCGCTGCAGTGACGACGGCCGGCCTCGATGGCATGGAGCTGGAGGAGCTGGTGGAGAGTGGCGAGCTGAGCCTGGACACTTTGCGGCGGGCGCGCGTCAGCGGCGATGGTCGATTGGGCGAAACGACCGTCGAGGAGTCGCCGGTGCCAGTGTCGGACTCTGGGGAAGCCGAGCCCGCTGCCGCCAACTGCGAAGAGCGCGCCAAACCATGTGACGCAGGAGAGCCCGCTGCGCGTGGCGGTGGGACAGCATTGCTAGCAGCCTGCCGGGCCCTCTGCTCTTCGAAGGCGGCGAAGCCGGCTAAGGCGGGGGAGGGACGTATCCTCTGGCGCGGGATGGGGGACATGCGCGCCTCTTCCCGCTTCCTCGCGATGGGCGGAACCGAGTTTGCTTGCTGCTCCACGACCTCGCGGCTCGAGGTCGCGGCGCGCTACGCGTCCGCCGCCGGCAAGCAGCGCGCCCTGCTTTTCCGGCTCAAAAGCTCGACGTTCATGAACATGGGCGTGGATATTTCGGAGTTCTCCGCCTTCCCGCACGAGAAGGAGTACCTCTACCCGCCCCTCACGTACATGCACCCCACCGGTGTGATCCACAGGCTAGTGCGCAACGGAGTGACCTTCGACATCGTGGAGGTTGAGCCGTCCTTCCCTAGCTAGTCGATGAATTTAATACTTCTTCGCATTGTTTTGATGTCAAAGACTTGATGTCAAAGACTTACACTGCTTCGTATTTTCGAGGCGACCTCGAAAGTGGACGCTGAGATTGCTCAGAGATTCTAAAATTACGTCAGAATTACGTACCGTACGGCTCAGAGGATGCAGTGGCCGACGTGACACACACACGCACACACACACACACACACACACACACACACACACACACACACACACACACACACACACACACACACACACCGCTCACCCACGCGCACCGGGCCTTGCACTTTGAATGCCGTGGGGCTCCTGTCGTTAGACGTGGAGACGCGAGGGTTGCCCCCCCTTGCCCCACCACCTCGAGACCTCGTGTGTGTGGAGAGAAGAGTTTACCTTACCTTACCTTCTCTACGGCGGAGCGCCAACACCGTAACGGCAGATCTATCCTCTCTCTCTCCCTCCTCCTCGCTCCTCCACTCCGCTCTCCGCTCTCCTGGCCTCTCGCCTCTCGCCTCTCGCCTCTCGCGCTCTCTCTCTCCTCTCCTCTCCGCTCTCTCTCTCTGTCTCTCCAGCGTCGGCGCCTCAGCCCCCGCCCGCCACGTACATGCAGAACGAGGCGCACCGCCCCCGGGGGGGGGGCACCAATACCCGAGACCCTCCCCCCTCCCCTGCCCCCTGCCCCCTGCCCCCTCCCCTCCCCCCTGCCGAGCCGCGCCCGTAGCTACGTCCCCGAGAGAAGGGGGAGCGGAGAGAGAAGGGGCGGAAGAGGGGGAGGGCTATGACGAGACGGCGCAAGGCGTCGTCGGCGTCGGCGTCGTCGTCGGCGGCGCTGCGGCGGCGGAGGCGGCGGCGGCGGGAGGGAGGAAGGACTCGAGCCGCGCGATGACCATCTCGAGGGCGACAGAGTTGAGGCCGGTCGGGATGATGATGTCGGCGAACCGCTTGGACGGCTCGACAAACTCGTTGTGCATCGGCCGCACGGTCTCCGTGTACTGCGCGATAACCGTCTCGGCGGTGCGGCCTCGCTCGGTGATGTCGCGGCGGAGTCGGCGGATAAAGCGCAAGTCCGCCTCAGTGTCGACGAAGATCTTGATGTCGCACGCCTTGGCCAGCTCCGGCTCCGCGAAGAGCAGGATCCCCTCGACGAGGATGATGCGCGCCGGCGAGACAGACTGCATGTCGGCCTCGCGGCTGTGCGTCGAGTAGTTGTAGATCGGCACCTGCTTCAATAATTAACAATTCATGCTTCATTCGTCAACAGGGTGTGCGTCGAGTAGTTGTAGATCGGCACCTGCACCGGATGCCCCTCCTTGAGGGCGGCGAGATGCTGCAGCAGCAGCGGCGAGTCGAGGGAGTCGGGGTGGTCAAAGTTGACCTGGGCGCGCTCCTCGATCGCCAGGTGCGACAGGTCCTTGTAGTACGAGTCGTGCGCGATGTGTATCAGGTTGTCCCGGCCGAGCCGCGAAGCAATCGCCCGCGAGACGGTCGTCTTGCCGGAGCCAGTGCCGCCCGCGATGCCGACGACGATGGGCCGCTCCGCCTCGGAGGGCCGCCGCGGAACGTCGGAGGGCGCCACGGACTTGGCCTCGCGGATCGGAGCCCCACTCTTGGGCAGGCCGAAAGAGTCGCGGCCGGGAGTGTGCCCGTTCGTGCTCGCGTTCTCGCGGTCGAGCATGGCGTCCGAAGTGGAGTCTCCGTGCGCCTGTCGACTCTGCAGCAGGGTGCCGATGCCCACCGTCACTGCCGCGGACACAGTAGCCAGGCGTGCGTGCATGCACTGAACCAAACCGGCGAGCAGAGCGCGGGACTACAGCTCGTGGGCACTGATCCAAGAAATCCATTGGGGGCACAGAAAATAAATAAATAAACCCCCATACCTCTCTACTGTGAGATGGGTAAAAAGGAACAGGTCAGAGTCGCGCCCGGTATGACAGATTTGAATGGGGGGAAACACGTACGGTCGACGCTCAGAGAGGGCCGAATACTCCGCTGCGATTCCTTGTGGCACTAGGTCTAGGAGCGGCTTGTCGGAGGGTCGGAGCGTCGCGCTAGAGAGGGCAAGGGACTGGGCGCTGGCATACCAGGGGGGGCAGGGTGGTGGGCGGCGACCGCCGCATACCGTCCTACGGCGGGGACTATCGCTACGCCAGGGAAGACAAGGGCGTCGAAGTGCAGCTGCTGCTGTTCGAATCGTTCGGCGGGTTCGGAAAGGGGGTCCGTGAGATCCTCCGGAGAGCGGCGGACGTGCTACAGAACAAGCTGACGCGGGCCCAGTACCTCGATGAGGTGACTTGGACCACCAAGAGCTGGCTGGGGCTGCAGAAGCAGCGCATCTCAGTCGTTCTTCACACGGCCATCGCAGAGCAGGTCGTGAATGAGCTTGCCTGTGGCGGGGGTGGGCGGGTGCACGGAGCTAAGTGCCTCGCCACCCTCGCAGGAGTCGCTTAGGCGGCTCCCGTGGTGTACCTGTGTTCGTGCCAGTGCGCGCCAGTCCCGTGCCCAGTGTCGTGCGAGGGAGTTTTGTTGTAAGATTCTTTTTTTGCGCAGGCAAATACGTCGGGCGGCTCGCTCAGCCGCACCCTCGCTCTGCGCGGCCAGTCACACGCTAGAGCGATGCTGTCAGCCACCGCCGTCCCTCCCGTGCCTGGAGCACTGACCGCGTCCGAGGTGGTGGCTCGCGTTGGCGCCTCTGGCGTCGCGAGCATCATCGGCTTCGGCTCTCTCCTCTCCGAGCAGTCCGCGCAGTCCACTTGTCCGTCGGCGTCTCGGTTCCGGCTTGGCCGTGTGCGGGGCTGGAGGCGCGTGTTCGGCCACCCGGCTCACATCTTCTTCGCGCGAGGCATCGCGCGTCCCGACACACGCGAGATCGCCTCGCTCTGTGCGGAACCGAGCGAAGACGCTGCGAGCGGCTTTGTCGTCGCGGCGTTCGACGTTCCCGCCTCGGAGCTGCCTGCGCTGCTCGAGCGGGAGGAGGAGTTCAACTTTGTGGAGGTCCCAATCTACCCGCTCGAAGGCGGCGCCTCCTCGCCGCCCGAGAGCACCGGCATCATGTGCACGCGCGCCACCGACGAGGAGGTGCTTGACAGGCGTGGCCACCGCGCAAAGTACGAGGCCGCCCTCTCGCCGCACTTCGGTTCCGTCACCGTCTGGGGGTGGGGCGCCGACTCGGGACTGCGGCCGTGCCCGGTCTACTGCCGCCACTGCGTGCTCGCCTCCCAAAAGCCCGGCGTGCCCAAGGAGGCGGCCGATTCGTTCCTCGACGAAACTCTGCTCGCCGACCGGCGCACGACGTTGCGGCAGTACCTGCAGGCGGACGGCGGCCACGTTATGCATACGCTGCCGCCTCCGGAGCTGAAAGCGAGGTACAACGGCTGAGTGGGTTCCGTGCACAGTGCCGGCGATCTTCGACAGCGCTTCGCTGGCATGCAGCTCTTTGCGCCTGAAGCTCGCCCCGCCCTCACTGGCCTTGTCACTTGTGAGCTGCGTCTTCATGAATGTGTGATGTGTGAGAGCGATGCTCTGCTTGGCGGCTGCCGGGGGCACACTGTGGGACGATGGGCGTGAGATAAAACCACGCTCCACCTCCAGCGCTTGACCTTGTGTGACTCCATAAAAAAATGAAGGGGCGACCACATGCACACATCGGCCCTGCAGGATCCTCTTTCTGTCGTATTGCAATAATATCAACACTGATCTGCTTCATTGCTGACCGTGCCGAGCTCCTACCGCGCGTCCGCGCCCCCCCCTCCTCCGACCCCCCAGGCTAGATGGAGTAGTCAGATGTAGATTCTGCCCCACACAGCCCCTTACCCCTTCACCCTCGCCTCGCTGCTTGGTGTTTCTGAACATGTAGTCGTCCACGCTGTGGGGGTTGTGTGTGGGTCCTGTGTGTCTGGGAGGGAGGGAGTGGCAGTGGGGTGCAGGTTGCTCACCCACGGCACCGGGCCGGTGCTTGCACTTTGAATGCCGTGGGGCTCCTGCTCGTGTCCCGGGCGTGGAGATGCGAGGGTCGCCCCCCCTTGCCCCACCAGTTTTATGAGGTATCTTATTCCGGGGCCCGTGTGCGGGGAGCGAACCTTAGCGACCGCCCAGAAGCTTTCTGAGCGACCCAATCGGGCCGGGATCATCAGCATATATCCCCTCCACAACATCGTGGGCGTTTGAGCGGTATTTGAGGACCACCGCCACTCTGAAGTTCGGCCGGGTGGTCTGCAGACCCCCCCCCCCGGAGCAGCAGAGGCTCCGTGGGGTCGAAAAGTCGACGCTGGGAGTCGCACTCGTCAAGCCATCGCAGCACCACGCGGTCCGCACGTACCGCCCACATCCCCTCTACCGCTGAGAAGGCGCAGATCGACCGCCGGGCCGCGTAGTCGTCGTTAAGGAGCGGTTTTTGGAGCCGTACGAAGAGGTCCCAGACGGGCGAACATGCGGTTTTTCGACGACCACACGCGATGTGGTATCTTATTTTTGCTAAAAACGGGCCGCCTAGTGCAGCCTCACTAGTACAACACGCAACCACACTGATAGCTCCACACTAGCCGGTATAGGCGAGCCCCGGCGGCCTCACCGTCGCCGCTCGCGGCGGAGCCGACGGCGGAGCCACGGGCGGGTGCGACCTTTTGGGGGGACATGAGCTCGCCAGGACGTCGCCGATGGCTCAGCGCGCCTCTTCCCGCCAGCGCGGGGCGGCCTACCTACAGGAGCGAGGGGGAGGAAGACGGAACTGAGCCCTAGGTTCGTGATCCTGTCGCCGGCAACGGCTGGGAGAGGGGCGGCAAGCGACGGGCGGGTCCGCGACCTTTTGAACGCCCATGAGCTCGCCGGGACGTCGCCGATGGCTCAGCGCGCCTCTTCCCGCCAGCATTAAACGGCCTACACACAGGAGGGAGGGGGGGGGGAGACGGAACTGAGCCCTAGGTTCGTGCAAAAGCGCCGGCAAAGGCTGGGAGAGGGGCGGCAAGCGACGGGCGGGTGAGCGACCTTTTGAGCGGTCATGAGCCGGCAGGGAGGCCGGCGATGGCTCGGCCAGCTCCTTCCCGGCGGGTTCTCGTCGGGCCGTGCCTGGTCGGCGGGGCTCGGGTGAGGTGAGCGGGCCCGGGAGTCGCATCTGCGCGTCCCCGGCAGTGGCAGTGTGGGGGTAGATGGGAAGTGCGGAGATGGGAGGCAACGCGCCTGTTTGATGGCCGCACGAGGCAAAGTTGGGCGCTCCGAGCGTCTTCTCGGCGAGAACGAACGGGCTGTGTATCGTCGGGGGGGTGACTGAGAGGGAGGTGGTCGTTACGCTCACTTTGTCGGCCGCGCGCGAGGTGAATACTTTGTGTGAGGCGCGCAGACGCCGCTCAGGTGCTGCAGCGGCCGCCGTACAAGCTCTTCGACACGATGGCGGTACCACTCTTCCTGTCAGAGGAAAGTACGCACCGTAAAGTGAGTCTGCGCCATATCCTGCGCAGCATGGGAGCCGTGCCATGTGACGCGGGACTGCTACAGCGGCGGTGGCAACTCCTAGCTAGGGGTCAGGGCTCTCTAGCCCGTAGCCCGATCCCGATCATCCGGCCCGCTGGATGCGCTTCTCAGCTCACCGGCCCTGGATGTGAGGTTACCGACTGCACTCCAAGTGCTCCAAGTGCTCCAAGTGCTCCCACTCAGGATGTGTGGCAGCCCGCTGGCTGTGTGTCTCGTGAGCTTGTTTGTGTCTGTGTGTCGCTCGTGCGTGTCGTCATCATCTGTCTTGCGTCCACCCATACCGCGTTGGTGTCCAGTCCGAGCCTGACTGTTCTTCACCTTCCTACATACATACATACATATCTCCCGGCCCCCTCCGAGGGGGGAAGGGAACTATTCTCTGTCCATCTACAGCGTGGGTGGTGGTACACTGCGTCGAGACAGCTCCGCCTCGCGCCCTGCCTTCCTGGAATACTTGCGAATACCCGACGCGGAATTCAATACGTAATTAATTAATGAATTAACTAATTAGGTTAGGACGTGGAATACAGCACTCGAGGTCATTAAGTAATAATAAACACAAATCATTAATTACCCCACCGCCGCCGCGCCGCCCCGCCCGCCGCCGCGCCGCGCCGTGACCGCCGAAAAAAGAAAACATGCCTCTTTCTCCGGCGGAGGAGATTTCGTTTTTCTGAGTAGGCGTACACATAACTCAGGGCCACATCCACAGTGACCGCCGAAAAAAGAAAACACGATCTTTTCTCCGGCGGAGCGCATGTTTCGTTTTTCTGGAGCTCTCGCCGCTCACCAGCCTCTGCCGCACGCCCTCGATGGAGACGCCCGCGAATGACCGGCCCCCGCGCACGGCTGTCGTCACGATCGTTGCCATCGTCCTCCTCGTTGCGTTGTTTGTGGCGCCTTTCCGAGTGATTGAGGCCGTTGCGCTGTTTGAGGAGAGGGAGAGGGAGAACGCGCCGAGCCTGACGACGACGACCCGTTCCTTTGTATTCACGACCGACCACCCGCACATCGACCACATCGCGCATTCGCATGGTGAGGAGCAGTGGCGCGCGGCGGTCAATCCGGAGAGCTATGATGAGTGGGACCCCGATACATACGATGCTTCGCCATGATAGCGGAGAGATATCTAGATAAGGCACCTTTCGCGGCTGTATCGGTGATGTCTGTGCAGCGTGCATGTTGTACGTACAGAAAGTAGTTCAACCAGAACTGTCCGTGGACTACGGACCAGCAGCGTGCCACGCGCGCATATTTCGTTGGAGAGAGATCAGGGAGGAACGGGTTACTGATTTGCATGTGCTTCACCTTCAGCACTGAGGATCTTCTCGCTCATGCTTGGGCGTTTTGCCGATCATCGCCTAACCATAACGCTGCAAAGGTTAGCATAGACAGTAAGAAATGCCTCACACGTCAGGGGAGCTGAGGGGCTAGACAGAAGGGTTGAGGACCTCCTCTGCTTGATCGAGCTGGACCTCTGTTGAGGATCACACGTTCACACTTACGTTCACCACCGAACTGAGTGGCTCTGGCCATGCGTCTTGAGCGGCCTCACCACGAGTGATATGGGTCGCGACTGTCGTCTGCGGGTGGCTGGCCCTAGACGGTACCGAAGGAAGGAGCTGAATAAGCTCGGCTCATTTTCTGAAAGGTGGGTTATCTCTGAGCGTACAGGTTCCGGTTGTTTGGGCAAACAGTCTATACTAACCAGTGGTCTATTCTATACTATTCTATACTAATCCGTTATAGAGTCTCAGCGGGTCGTCGCCCAGCTTGATAGATAGATAGATAGATAGAAAGTCAGGCTCGAGCTCTCTCTTTTACGCGCACGGGGCCATGTTTTTCTCTTTTTCGGCCCGCCATGGTGCCTTCTATCATCAATCGATAATTTGTCTCTGGACGCGATCCCCCTCACAGAAAGGGCTCCTCCAGCGTTCCCGTATACGCGCGTGGCGTACGGTGTTGTGTGTCCGTTCGCTCCGAGTAGAGGGGGCGTTCTGCAGTTAAGGGGAAAACCCGGTACACGGAACTAACCCTTGGAACTAACCATACTCCGGGTGCCGGTACCGCATGAGCTCAGAAAGAAAGAAAACGGACAACCCAAGGGCTCAGCCACGGGTTTTTTTTTCTCTTTTTCGGCCCGCCATGGTGCCTTCGCCGGTACCTCGGCCGGTGCAGCTCAAGCTCTTCCTCGGCATCGCTGCCTTGTTGCTGAATGCGTGCGAGGCGGCTCGCCTGCCTCCGCACATCGGCCGCGTACGCGGCGGCGCGGGTGAGCAGCAGCTCTCAAAGGACGAGATGTTTGCCTTCGACGAGGCGCTGCCGTGGCTGAGCTACGTGCGCGAGCACGGCGTGCAGCAGTTCGTCGCGATGTTCCAATGAATAGATGATGGACTCGAACCAGATCCGCAACCAGCTCCGCAACCAGATCCGCGGCGCGCATCCCCGCCTTCCCCACAACGCCTTTGTGGTTGCGCGGTCCGGCATAGATGCTGAAGTGTGGGCCCTGCATCGGCCAGTGTCCCCGACATGGTTTCCGTGACAATTCCCTAGCACCCAACGTCACCCGACTGCACCGCGATAGGCCCGCCGCGCTCGAGTCGCTCGAGGGCGCTGCGCTACCCTGCACGCCCAAGGCGCCAGCCATGGGCAGAGGCGTGGCGCAGCCGGCTCGCCGCGATTGGCCGCCCGCCTCGCAATGCAATCCTGCGGTCGCCAACCCACCGTTGCCGAATGCGACCGCAAAGCTGGAGTTTGCGGCGGCGGCGCGGCGATGGGCCGAGCTCCTCGCGCCCGTCTCGGCCAGACGGTTGCGCGACTTTGGGGTGGACTGCTGAACATGTGAATCCCGAAAATGGGCGGTGCCAGGACACGCACACAGCCACAGTGTGTGTCCGTTTCATATTTGTTTATACTCACTCCTCTCCGACATGCAGCCACTCGCCTCTCACAGCGGCTACAGCTCCGGCGGCCCTGTTGCCGGCCGCCTCAGCCTCGCCCACCACAGCCGTGGCACCGCTGCGTCTCTGTGCAGCGGGTCGCCGCGCCGGCGCAGCGCCGCCAGCACCCGCCTCAGCAGCCCCACGCGCATCGCCCGCCTCGCCGCCTCCTCGTCGCCAGCCAGCGGAGAAGCATCGCTCGCGTGGATGAGGAGGTAGTCCGCGGCGTGCAGCGTCAGCCCAAGCTGCTCCACGTCGTCCGCACGCATGAGCGACCAGCTCAACCGCTGGCGGTTGCCCACCGCCTCTGCCCGTGGGTCGCAGCCGCGGTACCCAAGCTCGGCCATCAGGCTGTCGAAGCCTCGCCGCTGGATGCGTAGAGCCAAGCGCATGGCGGCGTCGGAGCCGAGGGCGAAGCCCGACGACGGTAGCGGCACGCAGATCTCACAGCTCGCAGCGCCACGAGAGAGAAGCGAGTCGGCGACGTCGAGCGAGAGCGCCGGAGCGACGCCAGAGAGGACGACACAGCGCGCGCCAAGGAGTGGGATACTGGCGTCGAGCACGGAAGGGGAGTGGAGGACGAGGAGGTAGAGAGGGAGCATGCAGACGGGGGCGGCGGCTGACCCAGGCGGCCGACGGCCTGGAGCGAGAGGAAGAATCTTACGACGAAACTCCCTCGCACACGCACAACAAGAGGAACATAGAAGGAATAGTAAAAAAGAAACACGGTCCGGGCTGGTTGGGCTTCAGCAGGTCAATCGACCCACCCGGGCCACTGTGGGAGGAGACACTGTGCCATGGAGAGCGCGCCTCCCGATAGCTGCGCCGCGAAAGAGTCCAGCCCGGCAGAGGCGGCACGAGATGCCTCTCTGTCGCCTGCGCGTCCGTCCGCTGACGAGGTGACGGCGCCACCGCCAAGCGCGGCGGAGGTGGTGTTGAGGGCGCAGGACGCGCTGGAGGACATGATCGTCTACCGCTCGGCGGTCCCGCCCGCCAACCTCGGCCCTATCGGCGAGCTGGCCGGCACCGGGACGTCGAGGGGCAGTGGTGGTGCTGCGGCGCTCCCCGCTGCCGCACTACCTGCTGCCGCGCTAGCTGCAGAAAAGGAGGCGGGAGGTGACGCGATGGAGGTCGATCCTGCCGCGGCGCCCGCGTCTCGCGCCTCTCCGAGCCGCACGCCTCTTGCACCCAACCAGCCGATGGGCAGTGGCGGCGCCGTGGCGCTCCCCGCAGATGCTCTCCCCACCAGAGTCCGTCCTCCCGCGCCTCCTGCACTCCCTCTTGGCGCCACCCAGCCCGAACAGCGCGGCCGGACACCGCCGCTCCTCGACGCGCCGCATCTCGGGTCTCAGCGGCCAGACGAGCAGGTGGACGAGAGGGCGACGCGTCTGCAGCCCGACGGGGGCGGAGCGGGGCCGCCTCGCCAGCCAGAAGCTGAAGCGTCAGCAGGCGCTTCCGCAGGCGCTTCCGCAGGCGCTTTGGCAGACAGTTTTGCAGTGGCGTCGGCATCCTCCGCAGAGGCTCCTCCGGGGTCGAGCCTTCCGCGCGTGCGACTGACGCGCTCCAAGGCGGCGCGGCGCGAGCCGACCCTGCGAGACATCGACGAGGCCTACCAGACGCTGCGGGCGGTGCGGCGGCTGTACGCCAATGGCGCCACCGCTCTCGACGAGATCACCCGAGATTACCCGATGATCCCGAGATAAGCCGAGATTACCCGAGATTAGGCGCCACCGCTCTCGACGAGCACTTCCTCTCGTGCTGCAGCGCCGCGCTCGGCATCCCCGTGCGTGGCGAGCACTTTCGCGCCACCTCGCAGGCCGCACGCCGCGCGAGCGCAAAGCTGCAGCAGAAGGTCGCTTTCACGGTCGAGGCGGTGGCGTGGGCGCTCGGGCCTCACAGCGCGGGGTACGCGGATGCGCTGTGCTACCGCGAGGAGGGCGGCGGCGGTGGCGGCGGCGAGGCAGGCGGTGGCCGCAGCGACGGTGGCGGGGGCGGTGGCGGCAGCGAGGGAGGGATAGACGGTGGCAAAGTCCGTGGTGCGGAAGGCGACGGCAACGACACTGGACCAGCGGCGACGGCCTCCTCCACCGATGCGGGCAGCGGCAGCGGCGCCTCCACCGAAGCTGTCAGCGGCGACGCGGCTGCGGACGAGGGCGGCAGTGACGGCCGCGAGTCAAGTGGCATTCGCAGTGGCGGAGCTGACGGCGGCGGTGGAGATGGCGGCGGCGATGGCTCGGTTGGAGGCGACGGCATCGGTGGCCACGACGACGTCGTGTGCAGAGCCAGCAGCGACGGGGAGAGCGCGGGCGGAGGAGGCGGCGGCGGTGGAGGTGAGGGTGGAGGAGGCGAGGGCGGCGAAGGCGGCGACGGCGGCGACGGCGGCGGCAACGACGGCCTTCCGCCGGGCTGGTGCAAGGTGATGGACTTTGGAAAGTGCCGCGGGTATCGGCGAGGCAGCGTCATCGTGCGCAGCCGACCGGAGGCGTGGCGGCTGCACGGCGCCACTTCCGGGGCCTGCGACGGCGACGCCGCCGCCTCCCCCTCCTCCGCCTCCGCCTCCTCTTCCTCCGGTCCACGGCTGAGCCTGGAGTGGGGCAGCCGCTTCCTCTCCTCGGCCGAGGCGGGAGGGCGCAGCACCCTCGCGGACGACTCGCGGGCCGTGCTCGACGTCCTCTCAGGCCGCTGGACGCCTCCCGAGGAGAGGAGCCGCTCCCTCCTCCTCGCCCCGCCGCCGGGTCCGCTCGCCGCCGCCGCCGAGGGTGGCGCGGTCCCGCCTCCGCGCGCCGCGCCGCTCGTCCCTCCTCTGCCGCTCCCCTCTCCGGAGGACGACGCAGGCGAGCCCGGCCTGCCGGCCGTCAAGGAGCGCGCCGTCGTCGACTCTGCGTTTGGCGTCCACGCCGACTGCCCGCCCCGCCGCAAGCGCCCGCCGATCGGCGAGATGGCGGCGCCCCCGCCCGTGCTCGGCTTCTCGCTCCGCACGACCCACATGCTGCTGGCCGAGGTGTACGCGCACGTGCAAGGCCGCCGCACGGCGTCCATCGACTGGGAGGAGGTCGCAACCCGGCTGGCGGCGCGCGCGGAGGTTCTTCCGGGCGCGGCCGGGCCAATGCCAGGCGCGGCGGATGCGCACAGGCTGTGGCGGGCGCTGGCGTACTACAGCCGGAGGCCGCGGGCGTCGGCGGGCAGCAAGGAGGGGGGCGAGGGCGGCGGGGAGGGGGAGGGCGGCGGGGAGGGCGGCGTCGTGCGTCCGCACACGAGGCCGCACTGCACGCGGCCCGCGATGCCGGACTCGCTGGACACGGTCGGCCTTTCCGACGCGTCCGATTTGGAGGGGGAGGATGATCCTCCTCCGCCGCACGCGCCATACCTTGCGCACCACCACGTCGGAAAGGCGCGATCCGGACTGCTATTACTGCTGCCACTGCCGCTCTTGCCTTCACTCTCCCTCCCCCTCTCCCTCTCCCTCTCCCTCTTGTTCCTCCTCCCACTCGCCCTCTCCTTCCGTCGGAAAGGCGCGGCCGGCGAGGCTCGTCGGACGCTCCTACCCGCCCCAGGCCGCCGGCGGCTGGTCCTCGGTTGGGTGGCCGTCGGGCGAGGGGCGAGCGCCGCTGCAACTCGAGGGCGTCCTCGCGCCTCTCCGCCCGGCGCCACCGGCGCGGATCGACTACCCGCCCCGCGCATGGAGCGATGCCGACGACCGCAAGATGGTTGAGACTGTCGAGCGTCTCGGCCTCAGCGGGGGGACTCTTGCGAGCGCCGGCGGCGACGCGGCGGAGAGGCGGCTGGAGGCGGGGCGACATAGACATAGACAGACACACACACACACACACACGCACACACACACACACACACACACACACACACACACACACCGCCCAGCGGCGCCTGGCGTGTGTGCAGAGATGTACCTTCCTCACCTTACCTTGCCTAGGCGGAGAGGGCGCTCAAGCGCGCGTGGTCGCACATCCAGGCGCATCTCTCCCCCTCTCTCCCCCCCTCTCCCCCTCTCTCCCGGTCGCGCATCCAGGCGCTCAGGTAGACATCGGGCGGTCGGGCCACGCACACCTGCAGCTCACTCGGGGCGAGGGCCTTCAGCTCACGCCGCGGGGCTTGGCCCGCACACACACGTGGCAAGGCGGCCGACGGGCGGCGACTGACACCCGCCCCGCACATCCAGGCGCGCATCCGCAAGCTGCAGGCGTCGGGGGCGATGGCCAAGCCGCCGCCGAGAGACGAGTCGACGCCGCCGCCGGCTCTGCCTTCCGACCCGACGATCCGCAGACAGGACCCAGCTAAGGCGTTGGCCAAGGAGCGGCCGGCGGCGGCGGCGGCGCCGAAGCTGCCTCCCAAGCCGGCGGGTGCGCCTGGCGCCAAGCGGCGCGTCGCCGAGGAGGAGTTGCCGTCGGAGCTGAGGGCGCACGCGCCTTCCCTCGCCGTCTACCGCGCGGCTGTCAAGCTCAAGAAGGACAAGGCGGAGGCCGAGGTGGCGCCGCTCGGGCGGACGAGTCCGTGGTCGAGTCGGCGAGCTCATGCCCCTGAGCGACTGGCTGTTGATTAGGTGGCCCTGCACGGTTGGACTCTGCGCTACATACTGCGCGGCGGCGTCTACCTGCCCGCGGCGCCGAGGGACGGGGCGCGGCGCGCCGCCGCCGCCGCCGCGGGTGATGCGGCGCGCGACTTGGCGGAGGGAGAGGTGCACGGGGGTGGCGACCTGTACTGCTTCCCTCCGGGCATCTCGACCAAGGGCAAGAGCGAGAAGGTTGTCCGCTCACGCGCCTCCTCTCTCCGAGATTACCCGAGAGTACGCGAGAGTGCCCGGGAGTAGGTTGTCCGCTCGCTCGTCATGCTGCGGGAGGTGCTGCTGCAGCAGATTGACGGCGAGCGCACGGGCACCGTCTGGCAGGCCCCCAAGCGCGGCGAGCTGGTCGAGGTGCTCCCGCACCCTCCAGCACCGCTCGCCCACGCGCACCGGGCCTTGCACTGCCAATGCCGTGGGGCTCCTGTCGTCTAGACGTGGAGTCGCGAGGGACTAGCCTGCCCTTGCCCCGCCACCTCGTGTGTGTGTGGAGAAGTGCGCCTTACCTCACCTTAGGTCGAGGTGGAGGACTATTTGCCCGTGGCGCCGCCGCCGCCGCCCACCGACCCTCCGCCCGCGGGGGGCTCGCCCTTCGACGACCTTCTGGACCGGACGGCCGAGGGCGTCTTCACCTGGGCAGACGGCAACCGCTACCAGCGGCGGGTGGAGTGGCGGCTGGCCGAGGTGCGCCAGACGTGGGCCGACGGCAAGTTCCAGGCGTGCGTGTGCGACCACGACGGCTACCTCGACGAGAGCTTCGTCGAGGTGTACAGCCGCGCCGACGAGGGCAAGGAGTGGAGGCGGCGCGCGGCGGACGCGCCCGGCACTGTCCTCTCGCGGGGCGGCGGAGGGGGCGGGAGGGGCCGCGGCGGCGGGCGCGGCGGGCGCGGCAAGAAGCGGCGCAGGCAAGACAAGTGGTGACTGGTGCTGGGCTGGCGCATGGCGGGCTGCGTGAGGGGCCGATGGCCTGCGGGACTGGCGCGTGGCGGTCTCTCGACTGGCGCGACACACTGGCTCGGAGCCGGCCAGAGATCCGTGGCAACGGCCATCGCGACGTCCGCTGAGTGGAAGGTGGAATGGAACCCCATGAACCATGTGTCTGTCTCTCCATGTTTCCGAGAGGTTTTCAGATAGGTAAGGTTTATCTCTGAGTGGCAGCATGGGAGTGTCAAAATTCTTTTGCGATTTGCCTCCTCAACCCATTCAGGATTGTGCTGCGTTGGGGAGAATAGAGACAGTCTGCCCAGTGGGTGACTCGGCTAGCCGAAAGAAAGACTACTCGCGCTCCTCTGCTGCCCTCTAGCATTCCCACTCGTCCGAGTTGCTACCCTAATCACTGTCCTCCCCGCCGCTGCTCGCGAGCGGGCTGCTGTCCTCTCCGTCAGAGGAAGTAGGCGTCGGCGGCCGGCTCGCCCACATCTCGACCTTCTTGGGCGCGAACTGGTGCTCTCGGTCGCCGTGGCCCAGCTGGCCATAGTCCCCGCCGCCCCAGCTCCAGACAGCGCCGTCGGCAGTGAGGGCGTTGGTGTGGCGGGATCCTGCCGAGACAGCGACGACGCGCTGGCCAGCCAAGGCCTCGACCTTCCGCGGCAGCAGCTGGATCTGCTGGTCGCCGTGGCCCAAACGGCCGTCGCCTCCGTAGCCCCAGCTCCAGACGGCGCCGTCGGCGGAGAGGGCGAGGCTGTGGTACTCTCCAGCCGACACGGCGACGACGCGCTGGCCAGCCAAGGCCTCGATCTTCTTGGGCAGCAGCTGATGCTGCTCGTCGCCGTGGCCCAGCTTGCCATTGCCTCCCCAGCCCCAGCTCCAGACACCGCCGTCGGCGGCGAGGGCGAGACTGTAATCAAATACAGCCGACACAGCGACGACGCGCCTGCCAGCCAAGGCCTCAACCTTCTTTGGCAGCAGCTGGTTCTGCTGGTCGCCGTGGCCCAACCGGCCATAGCCTCCACCGCCCCAGCTCCAGACGGCGCCGTCGGCGGTGAGGGCGAGGCTGTGAGACCCTCCCGCCGACACAGCGACGACGCGCTGGCCAGCCAAGGCCTCGACCTTCTTGGGCAGCGGCTGGTCCTGCGTGTCGCCGTGGCCCAACTGGCCTAAGCCTCCCCAACCCCAGCTCCAGAGGCTGCCGTCGGCGGCGAGGGCCAGGCTGTGGTGCTCTCCAGCCGACACGGCGACGACGCGCTGGCCAGCAAAGGCCTCGATCTTCGTCGGTTGCAGCAGCTGCTGCGTGTCGCCGTGGCCCAACCGGCCTTGCCCTCCAAAGCCCCAGCTCCAGACAGCACCGCTGGCGGTGAGGGCGAGGCTGTGGTACTCTCCAGCCGACACGCTCACGACGCGCTCGCCACCCAGCGGAGAAGGGAGGCGCGTCGGCGTGTTGAGCCGCCTCACGCCCTCGCCGTGGCCGAGCAGGGCTGGAGAGTAGGACGGCGCAGAGCCGCAAGACGAGAGCCGCCCCTCGCCATCGATGAAGACGCTGTGCCGTTCGCCTGCCGCCGCCCTCGCCGGCGGGTTGGACTCGCACAGCAAGGCAGCGAAGCACAGCCACCGCACGGCGCAGCTCTCTTCCTCGGGCTGCGCCGGCAGCTCGAAGCCGCGCTCTTGCGCCCACAAGCGGATGCCCTCCACCGCAAGCGAGGCGTGGAAGAGAAGCGAGACGCCCGCGACGCGAGCGATGTCGGCGGGGTCGCAGCGAGAGACGACGCGCACGAGGAGGTCCGTGGGGAGGTCGAGGAGGCGGGCGGGCGGCGGCGTGTCTGGCGAGGGAGCGGCGGTGGCGAGGCGGCGCGAGCGGCGACGCGGCGGGGCAGACATCGCGAGAAAAAGAAAAATCAAGCTTTGTTCTCTTGGCATCCCTGTGTGGTGGCGGCGTGCCGTCCTCCCATCCCTCCCTTGGGTTGTCTGTTTTCTTTCTTTCTTTCTTTTTTGTTCTCTTGGCACCTTGGAGTGCTGGGGGGGGGCGACAGGGAGGATGTGGCAGCTGATCCTCTACCCCTTCCCCAACCCCCAACCCCCCCTACCCTACCCCCCCTTTTATTCGAACCCAATTGTCGTCGTCATCTCTCTCTTGCACGTAAAATTCTCTCTCTTCTCGCCCCCGCCAGCAGCGGGCTCACGGGAATCGTCCGCGCCACAAATACATCTTGCTCCGCCATGCCTCTCATGCGAGGCGCAATACGCCGGCTTTCCACGCAAATCGAGCCGCTCTCCGCACGCGACGGCGTAATCGCACTCAACGTCAGCGGCAAGTCCTTCTCGCTGCTGCGCTCGACGGCCAGCTTATCGCCCACACCGCTGCGGATGACAACACGGCACTGCATGCTCCAAACCGGTTTCAAAGACGGCGCGGTATTCAGGTGCGGCGCGGAGTGTGTGTGCGCGTGTGTGTATGACTGACTGCGGGTGCGGCAAGAAGGTACCGCGCATCCGTCTGTATTATTAACAACGAAGGCGCTCTCAAAAAATAAAAAGCATCTCAGATCTACGGAGCTTTACAGTCCAAGGAGATCTTCCGATGTAGCGATGTTGACATGTTGTGGGGAGAGATTTATCCCATGATGTATGATCGTATGGTTTGAGAGAGATTTGTTTAGGAGTGAACAGTGCAACACGAAAAGCTGCCGAGCCCAAGTCCCACCCTGTGGCAGTGCGAGTGCCTCTGGGGGGCCGCGCAGCAGTGCGGAAACGGGGCTCCGGCTCTACTAGTCTCTACTAGCACCGACTTCCCGAATGATCACGGTTGATCAGAGGGCAGATTTGGAGAGATCTCGAGGAGTACATACAGATAGACCCTCCAACCATAAGAAAACTCCGACCTGATCGGTCGTACTGACCGCCGACAGATCACTCCAGACAGCAGACAGGCCGACGTCTGCACGCGGCCGGCCGGGCGAGAGGCTTGACACGATCCGACCCTGCGACCGTGACGCTGCTGGTCTAGCTATCAGACATGCACTGCTGACTGTCGCCACAATGTGCGACCGGTGCTGGTCCACTTGGCGGCCTTCCCGGTCAGTGGTGAGGCGCAGTTCAGCGCTGTCGATGGCGCGATGCCGCACTGGTCCCACATTGGTAACACGAGACCACCACGTTTGCCGGTCCAAGAGAGAGGCACTGGTGCTGTCCTGAGAAGTTGCGTGGTCCCTCTTGACTGCCCATGCGCGCGAGGCTGTGTAGGCATAGCCTCGAGAGTGCCAGCAGCCAATCTGAGGCAGTTTGTGACGCGCATTGCGTCAGAAGCGTGCACGCAGCTGGAAGGACACCTTCCTACTGGCCGTACGATCAGGTCGTCACTGAATGCTTGATACTAAGGCCGCGAGCTATGCAGGTGATCAATTGTGCAGCATGGCACGGTCAGCAGCGCCGACAGGCTGTCGCAAGGCGTGATAGCATGTGGCCGCAAGTACGCCGAATTTCCCATGAAAACAAGTAAAAAATCGCGCAAAAAAAGAAGAAATTTCCGAAAAAATCGGCGCCTGCGGCGGGCCATGGGACCCCGTCGCCCCCCCGCATGGATACCCTCTAGGGCCCCCGCGCCCCCCCAGAGGCGAGTGCTCCCCACGGCTCTAGCTTTCACGTTTGTGATATGCGCTTCGTTCGCCGCCAGAGCGGGCCGCGGCGCGAATCTAGCAGAGAGCTGCACCAAACCCACTACTCGGAAACGTAAACACCACCGTGAACGAACCTGTCCAGCTCTGTCCGCGCGTGCGCCGCGATCTCCCCACTCGTCGTCAGCCAGACGTCATCGCGGTGCGCAGCGATGTGCTCGAGTGCGCGGCGCAGCTTCCTGAGCCGGAAAGGCTGCCCGACGATGTACGCGTGCAGCGCGATCCCCATCACAAGCGGCTGCTCGTGCCTAACAAAGACAGCTGCGACCCCATAAAAAGAAAGCATTCGGCCCGCTCGATCCCAGTCACGAGAGCGGCTGGACGCGCCGCTCGCTCTGCTCGCGCATCTCGTCGAAGTTGTCCACGATCATGCCTGAATCGTTGCCAGCACGAGCCTGGGGTGACTTCGAAGCCGCCGACGAGGTGCGGGGAGATGTGGGGAGATGTGGGGAGATGTGGGGAGATGTAAGGAGATATCGACGAGCATGCCTGCGAACTCCGAGGCGGACGCACGCCGGACGAGGATCGTCGGGATGTCGTTCAGCTCCTGAGGCGCGTGGTGATCTCGTGTGATCTCGAGTGATCTCGGCGCGATCTCGGGTGATCTCGTTGAACTCGTGTGATCTTGGGTGATATCGGGTGGTCTAAATGGTCGGATGACGCAACGTGATCTCGGGTGACCTCGACCGTGAGGCGATCGTGGGTGATTCGCAGGCAGCCTCGCCCGATCTCGGGCGATCTGGGCTCCTGAGGGTACGGGAGGCTCAAGATTCGGCACTTCTAGGAAGTGTCTAGGAAGTGTCTAGGAAGTGTCCTGAGGGTACGGGAGGCTCAAGATTCGGCCGCCGCCGCGCGTGCTCATCCACGTTGGCTGGTCGTCGTGGCACCTGCGCCCGGGGCGATCTCGGCTGATCTCGGCTGATCTCGGTTCATGGCTGATCTCGGCTCATCTCGGCTCATCTCGGCGCATCTCGGCGCATCTCGGCGCATCTCGAGTCACCAGTCCAGCAGGTACTCGTACCCGGCCTCGGCGAGCAGGTCAGGCGAGACGTGGCTCTGCGAGATCCAAGGGCCCAGCCAGCCGCGGGGCGGGGCGCCTGCGCGAGAGTAGCCGAGGTTAGCCGAGATCAGCCGCGATCAGCCGAGAGTAGCTGAGAGTAGCTGAGAGTAGCCGTGAGTAGCCGAGGTTAGCCGAGATCAGCCGCGATCAGCCGAGAGTGGCTGAGAGTAGCTGAGAGTAGCTGAGAGTAGCTAAAGTGTCGGCCTCTCGCGCACAATCTCCCGTCGTCTCGGCAAGTTGCCAGGAGCGGGTTGCGCCTGCCGCGTCTGCGAGAGTCGACGTCGTCTCGGCGATGAGCGCCGCCTCGTCCCTCTCGACCAGGTCGCCCTGCCGCTCCGCGTTTGTGCGGCCGTGGCCGACGACCTCGTCTCCACGTGCGATGTGTGCAGCGAGCAGCTCCGGGCAGTGGCCAGCGATCTCCGAGTTTGCCAGCACCGAGACAGGAAGACGGAGCTCTTCGAACTCGTCGAGCAGCCGCCACGCGCCAACGCGGTTGCCGTACTCGCGCCACGAGTAGTTGAGCACGTCCGGCCTGCCCGACGGCGCGAGCTCGCCACCGTGACCCTCGCCAAACGCAAAGTGCTCGAGGTTCAGCCCGAGGTAGACGGCGAGGCGCTTGCCACCAGGCCACGCGTAGCGCGGACGCGCGTTGATGGCCGAGTAGGGGAAGCGGCCGTGGGTTCGGAGGAGCGAGGGCATTGGTCGCACGCCAGACTGGCGCGCAGGATAAAAGAATTTAAAAAAAATTCACAAGCCATCGAGTCGAGTAAAGGATTTGCACAGGCGACACCACGCCACACGGCCACACAGCGGGTGTGTGGAGATCAACGGACAAACGCTGCATTTGGCAGCCCGTGCCAATTCTTGGTGGTGGGGCGGTGGGGCGCTGGGGCGGGCGCCGGAGTGGGAGTCGCGTGACTGCTCCTGTGGTGGGGGCAACGGCTTCTGAGGGAGCCGTCGCCCGCGCCTTGTCTGTCGCGTGAATCGTGCTGTGCGACCGCCTTGTTGTAAAATTCTTGGTGGACTGGTCCTTGTGACCTCGCCAGGTGCTGAACGAGTCGCTACCTAGCCAGACTCACGGTTGCGACAAGCATCACTACAAACCTACATACACACTCATGTGCATGTGCATGTGCATGTGGCAACGCCTCCATCGTCGTCTACAGGTGCAACAACGGCGGGCCCCTCGTCCGTCCCGCCCTTCATTACGCAAAGGCGGTGGTTTGTCCTTGGCGCGTTCCCGATTCTCCCTCTTTACGGGCAGCAGCATGGGCGCGTCGAAGCACTGGTTCCGCGGCCGCTCCAAGTCGCCCGTCCAAGCAGACGAGGAGTCGGCCGCCGGCCAGGCCAGCAAGCCGTCGCCGGCTTGCGGCTTCCGCGACTCCCACGGCCATTTTCAGGCGCTTTGGCGCCCGAGCCCAGACAAGGACGCCGCCGACAACGTGCCCGCATCCACCTTGGAGGGAAGCGCGCGGTCAGGGTCGACACCGTCCGCCTCCCGACCCGCCTCGCCGGTCTGCGCGCCTTCTGTCCACCGATACCGGCCGGCTGAAAGCGGGCACGTCTTTGTCCTCCATTGCGACGCTGCGGGTGCCCCCACCTCCCGCCGCCGCCCTGCGTCCGCCTGTCGCAGCGCGCCGCTACCACCGCCCCGCCCCGCGCTCTGCCCGTCCACCACGGCACCGTGCCAGCAACGGGCGCGGCTCCTTGCGCGGCTGACCGCCCGTGCTATGTCCCAGGCCTCCCCGGGGAAGGGATTTTGGGGCCTTTACTGCCCGGGGACCCCCCGAGGGGCCCCGTTAAGGCCCTGAGGGACGACGAGATTTCCAGCCGCGGCCTGAAGGGGGCCCCCCCCCCCCCCCCCCGTCCCCCTCCCGTCGCCTTCAATGCTTGTGCTTTGCCATCAGCCACCAGCCCCTCAGCCACTGGCCACCCCCGCGTCACAGCACCGTCACCGCCCCACCACCCTTGCTGCGCCGCGCAGGCCGGCGCAAAATCTACGAGGGCTCGGTCTCGAGCCGCTTCTATAGCACCGAGGAGGAGGCGATCGCAGGCTCGATGGCCACCGTGCACGCGTACATCGCCAAGGCCGGCGCCGCGCTGCAGGGCCGCCCCTCCGCCTTCCGGCGGGCCAAGCCTCTCATGGCGCTGCCCATGCCGGGCGTCGGCCTGATGGACATCTCCAACCTGGTGGACGATCTTGCCGACGTGGTAGAGCCGCTGCTGGCGGTGCTGTACGAGGCGGCAGCCGAGTACAGGGTCGACATCGCCCTCTGCACCGTCGACGAGGGCGCTTTCCGCGTCGCGCAGATGCTGCGGCCGCGCTGCTGCCCGTGGGAGGGAGGCCCGTTTGGATTCCTCGGCCCGGACCTGCTGCGGCAGGTGGCGGCACTGCAGGAGAAGGCGAGCATCGGTCGGCTCGGAGTGCTCTTCGGCGCGGGTGTGTCGGTCCCGTCCGGCCTGCCCTCGTGGGACGGCCTGCTGCGCGAGCTCGCTGTTCGGGCCGGCTTCAGCGTCGAGGAGCAGGAGGCACTCTCCTCGCTGGGCCTCCTCGATCAGTCAACGCTCATCGAGGAGCGGATGGGCGGGCGGGTGGAGTTCAAGGCCGCCGTTGCCGACTGCGTGCGGCACGGCCGTTTCACGCCCGCCCACGCCATCCTCGGCGCGCTCAAGCTCCCCGCCGTCACCACGAACTACGACTCCCTGTATGAGCGCGCGGTGGCGAGCACCGGCGACGGCGGCACGCGGGTCGGGGACAACGGGGAGGAGTCCCGCGCGAGTGAGGGTGCCGAGCTGCTCCGCCGGCTGGGGAGCGACAAGTGCTCTCCGCCGGACTGCGGCGACGGCCGGGGCGGCGTGCTCCGCGCGAGCGGGAACAACGCTTGCGTGATGCGGCTGCCGTGGGACGCGGCGAGGGTGCGCGAGAGCCAGGACTCGGTCCGGCGGCTGCTCAAGATCCACGGGTGCGTCTCGGACCCCAAGTCGATCGTGCTCACGCGCGAGGACTACATGAGGTACGGCGACAACCGGCACGCGTTGCGCGGCCTGCTGCACCAGACCTTTCTGGAGCGCGAGGTGCTCGTGGTCGGCTTCTCGATGAACGACGACAACGTGCACCTCATCATCGACCAGGTGCGCAAGGCGCTGCAGACCACCAGCACCAACGGCGGCTTCAAGATGGGGACGGTGCTCACGCTCGCCGAGAACTCGATGTTCCGGCAGCTGTGGGAGCGCGACTTCCGCGTCGTCTCGTGCGGCGTCTCGCAGGCGGAGCACGCGCGCCGCAAGAGCGACGGTGTCTACGACCCGTCGCCCGAGTGGACGCACGACATTTTTCTCGACGCGCTCGCGTCAGGCCTCACCGTCGAGCGCGCGGGCTGCTCCTTCATCCTCGACGACAGCTACGCCAGCCTGCTCGAGGAGCCGCAGCGCAAGATCAAGGCGGCGCTCTCGCCGCTGCAGGAGCTGATGCGCGACGACGACCTGCGGAACTGCCCCGCGCTCAAGCGCATCCAGCAGCTGCTGGAGGAGCTCGGCGCCACGGGCATGGGCTGCGAGGACATGTACTGAAGCGAACCACCCTTCGGGCTTGGGCGCTGTTTGTTACGGCTAGGACATAGGAGTAGGAGGCGGAGTCAACCCGGAGTCGCACACGAAATGGACGCGTGTGCGCCGCACACACCTCACGGGCGGGTGGGCCGGGCATGTGTAACTAACGTAGGGACGGAGGGCGCAAAACTGGAGTGGGCCTGACAACCTTCTTCGCACAGGGAAGACGGGGACGCTGCCTAGCGGCTAGCGTGTCCACCTTACAACTACACTAAAGTCCACATTTTGGTGTTTCGTTGTGGAGTGTGGAGTAAGCGGTTGTTTGTGTGTCCGCGAATATAAACGCCATCTTTATGGACTCTCCTGCTCGCTCACTTTTTCACCATTGACACCTTACCTCCGGCAAGCTTGAGCGCCGGCTTGCCGTGTATCAACGCAGTCCGGGCAAAGGCAGATTTGCAAGTCGGGCAGTGCCACTTGCTCCCAAGTTCCGCACGGCGCTCGGGCGGCGCATCAGAGATGATACGGAGCGGGTCAGCGCAAATGCGCTCGATGTAAAGCTTGATCAAACTGCTCTTCAGGCCATTCTTCTTCTTGTACCCGAACAGCCGCGCGCGACAGCTGGTGCAGACCACACCCACCGTGCGGTAGCTCTCGAACGCCGCGCTTGGCCTCGCAAGCATCTGCACCCTCCCGCGGAGCGGCACTGACACACGCTGCGGTAGTCGCGGTCGCAGCAGTGAGACAGAAGTGACAGCGAGCAGCAGGGCTGCGGGCATATGCTCTGAGGTCACAGTATGGGTTCGGCCGCTTAGGCGAGGAGGGGGAGGAGGGGGAGGAGGAGGATGCCCCCAAGGGAAAGCTCAAGGAGCAGCCTGGCGATTACCCCTTTGCGCGGCAGCAGGATTGCGATCTTCGTTTGTTTGATTTTGAGGCTTTCGGAGGCTTTGGAAAGGAGGTTCGCAGCACCCTGAGGGAGGCGGCGAACCAGCTGAGCAACAAACTTTCGCACGCTCAGCACCTGGACGAGGTCACATGGACCACCAAGAACTGGCACGGGCTGCAGATGCAGCGCTTGTCTGTCGTCCTCCACACCGCCGTGCGTGGCGTGGCAGACGGTGAACGAGCTAGCGTGCGGGGAGAGCGGCATTGTGCATGGTGCGGAGTGCATTGCCGTTCTTAACGGAGTCGCTTAGGCGGCTCCGGTGGTGAGCCTGTGTGTGTGCCAGTCCGCGCCAGTCTGCGCCCTTGTCGTGCCAGTGTGCTGTGAGAGAGGCTTGTGTCCTAAGAATTCTTGTTTTGGAAGCGCGGCCCGACTTGCCGTTCCGGGCCCCAGGGGGCTGCGGATGCTCCTGAGCCTGCTGTACACCCTCGGCGTCGCCCTCGCACCGCTGCCGCTGCGCCGCAGCAGAACCGCACTGCCCAGGATGTGCGACCAGTCCTCGCTTTCCCAGCCGGCGCAGGCCGACGCGGCCGACGCGGCCGACGCCCTCGCGCTGCACCGGCGGCTCAAGCTCCGCTCTGAGGTTGAGGACGAGTTCGGCAGGGCGCTGAAGGAGGGCCTCGAGGTGTGCGCGCACTCGCTCCGCCTGTACGGCCCGGCGCGTGTCGTCACCAGCTTCAACGGCGGCAAGGACGCCGTCGCCATCTTGCACTTGATGCGCGCGGCGCTCGCGGCGCACAGCGAGGCGGCGGGCGGGCCGCGAGAGCGGCTGCGCGTCATCTTCTTCGAGCAGCGGGACGAGTTCCCCGAGGTCGACGCCTTTGTGCGCGACGCCGTCGAGCGCTACGACCTCGAGCTCTGCACGTACTCGGATGGCTTTGCCGCCCAGAAGCCGAAGACGCACTCTTGTCTCCCAACCAGCACACTCGGGAGGACACGTACTCAGCTGTATTCGGCCGTGTTCAGCCGCACTCACTGCAGTCGCCTCCCTCGTATTCACGCGGTGCTAAGAAAAAGCTGCACAAGACCATCTTCCCCGCCCCGAGGTCGGTGTATTCAGCCCCGTGGGTTCAGTCCCGCAGGCTTTGCCGCCGGGCTGGAGAGCTGCATCGCGGAGCACGGGTCGGCGGCGTTTGTGCTTGGCACGCGGGAGGGCGACCCGAACGGGTCCGGGCAGGGCGCCTTCGAGCCCTCCTCCACTTGGATGCCCCCTTTCATGCGCGTGAACCCCGTGCTGCTCCTAGAAGCGGAAGACGGATTCCTGCCTCCCAAAGTAGCGCTCGAGAGACACGTACTCCGCTGTTTGCCGCTGCAGTCTGCTGCATTCACTGTACTCCCACCCGTCGTACTCACGCGGTGCTCTGAAGACGCTGCACGAGACCGTCCTCCCGCCCCTCATGTCGGCGCATACTCACCACGCTGAACAGATACCACACCACCCACGGTACTGAACCAACACTGGGTTCGCTACTCTGGAGGTATGGGACTTCACACCGTAGGTCCTGCGCTGGAGCTACGCGCACGTCTGGCAGCTGCTGCGCGGCTTCGCGCTGCCGTTTTGCTCGCTCTACGAGGAGGGGGCAGCCTAGAATCAATCTCCCCATATCTCCCCATATCTCCTCGTATCTCCTCGTATCCCCTCGTATCTCCCCATATCTCCCCATATCTCGTGCCTAGAAGCCGAATACGCATTCTTGTGCCCCAACCAGCGCTCGAGAGGACACGCACCCACCTGTATTCGGCCGTATTCAGCTGTGGTCGTTGTCTCAATGACCCCTCGTACTCACGCGGCGCTCTGAAGACACTGCACGATACCGTGCTCCCGCGCCGAGGGTGGCCGTCTTCGGCACGTAGGAGGGGTGCACGTCGCTCGGGGAATCTCGGGGAATCTCGCCGAATCTGCACGTAGGAGGGGTACACGTCGCTCGGCAAGCAGTCCGACACCGAGCCGAACCCCGCCCTCCGCCTCCCTGACGGCAGCTGCCCCTAGAGGCGGAAGACTCGCTCTTGTCTCCCGGCCAGCGCTCGAGAGGACGCGTACTCGGCTGGATTCGGCCGTATTCAGCCGTCTCCACTGTAGTCGCCTCCCTCGTACTCACGCGGTGCTCTGAAGACACTGCACAACACCGCCTTCCCGCCCCGAGGCTGGCGTACTTCACGACGCAGGCTCCTACCGCCCCGCCTGGTTGCTCGACGATTGGGCGCTGGAGCGGGCCGGCCGGTCCGCCAAGGGCGGCAAGGCGGGCGGCGGAGGCGGAGGCGGCGGCGGCGAGAGCGGAGGCGGCGGCGGCGGCGAGAGCGGCGGAGGCGAGAGCGGAGGCGGCGAGGGCGGAGGCGGCGGGAGGGGAGCCTCTCCCGCCGCTGCGGCCAAGGCGCCGGAGGGACGGAGACCTAGTTCGGTTGGTGAGGCTGCTAATTCAATGAGTTGACCATCGCTTCTCCCGCGGCCGCGGGCAAGGTGTCTGCGGCGGCGGCGGAGGCGGCGGCGGAGGCGGGGGAGCTGCTCGCCGCGAAGACGGCGGCGGCTGTTTGTCGTGTTTGGGCGGCCGAGGTTCACTGCTAGCTGACGGCTGGTTCACTCTGGGGACAGGCGGCGATGGATAGATGGGAAGGCGAAGCACAGTCCGACCAACGATTGGGACACCAGCGCGGTATGGGTGGACGCGGGACGGGAGATGACGGTCACACAGGAGCGACACACAGAACCACAAGACAAGACACCCAGGCGGCGCTGCTGGTCGTCGGCGACGAGATCCTCTCCGGCGCCACGGCCGACGTCAACATCCAGGCATGCACTAGCCTTTTAGGGCTAGTCTGGGCGGGTTGACGCATCAAGTGGTTCAGTGGCGGCCGGCGTGAGCGCCCCAGGCGGCGGCGGCGGCGCTGCGAGCTGGCGCTGTGGCGTTGCGGCGCGTGACTGTGGTTGGAGACGACTTGGCGGAGATTGAGGCGGAGCTGCGGCTGCTGGCGGCGAGATTTAGCCGGGATCTGGCCGAGAGATTGCAGATCTGGGCAGCCGAGATCATGGCCGCGATCTGGGCTCGAGATCGGCTTGAGATCGGCTTGAGATCGGCGGAGATTGGCGGAGATTGGCGGAGATTGGGACCCGAGATTGGCGGAGATTGGCGGAGATTGGCGGAGATTGGGGTCCGAGATTGGCGGAGATTGTCGGAGGGTGGGGCCCAGGCGCTGCCCGGTGGTCAGTGTGGGAATCACCTCCTCCGCAGGCGACTCACGACCTCGTCATTACCTCTGGTGGCGTCGGCCCAACGTGCGACGACGTCACGCTGAAGGCGGTGGCCGCCGCCTTCGGCACACAACTGGCTCCCTCCGATGCGATGCGAGGCGCCATTCGCGAGCGACTGAGCGGCGAGGGCTCGCCGGGCGGCGCTCTAATCAATCGAGGTCCTCATTAGTTACCAGTCGCCATTAATTACTAATTAGGCGAGGGGTCGCCGAGCGACGCCCGACCGCTCGCCGACGAGGTTGTGGACAAGATGTCGCTGCTGCCCGCCTAATTAATAACTAGTAATCGATAACTAATTAAGTATTAACTAGGTGGTGGACAAGATGTCACTGCTGCCCGCCGGCGCGCGGCTATGCGACTTGCCGCTAGCCCCGGGGCACTGAACAGCTGCTCGATGTGTTCCCTTTGCTTTGATCAGGCGCGCGGCTGCGCGATTTGCCGCCGGCGCCGGGCGCGCGGGGCGAGGCGAGCGGGGCGGTGCAGTGGCCACTGCTGCAGGCGGGCCATGTGATTAATGATTGTTCTTAGTGTTCAGTGAAAATCAACGGAGGGCGCCGCCGCAGGTGGGGCACGTGATTAATGATTAGCTCCTAGCAATGAACGGATCAATTGCGGGCTTGGCTGCGGGTGGGGCACGTGTTTTATGAACTAGTCAACGCGGCGTCCCGTGTACTTCAATTCGGGGCCATGGCTGCAGGTGGGCCGCGTGTTTAATTAGCAGTTCATCACTGCTCAATCAGCGAATCAACGGGGCCGCCGCTGAAGGTGCGCCACACGTTCAGTGATGAAGTGACTCTGTTTCCGGGTCGCTGCAGGTGGGGCACGTGTTTGTGCTTCCTGGCGTGCCTGCCTTCTTCGCCGCCAAGGTGAACGGGCGTGTCGCGCACCTGTGAACAGCGTCTCTTCACGGCCCCAGCTGTGAACAGGTGAACGGTCTCGTCGCGCACCTCGTTAGCGGAGGCGCTCCCCCGTGCCACCGCTCTCGGACCATCTCGGCGAACCTCGCGATCTCGGCCAATCTCCCCCTCGTGAGCTAAAGGCGCTCCGGTGCTGAAGCGCTCCGCGTCGCTCTCCACGCCCGAGGTATGCTGCACTACACCTTTGCCCGAGAACGCACACACCGTGGGGACGTGTCTCGCACTGAGGCATACTGACTGACGTCGTTACTGACGGGCAACGATCACTTAGGTCGAGCTGGCGCCGCTGATCAACCGCCTCGCCGCGACGCACCCCGCCGTGAAGCTCGGCTCGCCAGCCTAGAAGAGGAATGCGGAGTCATGTCTTCCCACCAGCGCTCGAGAGGACGCGCACTCGACTCTACTCGGCCGTATGCAGCTGTAGCTGTGTACCTGTGCCCTCATATGCGGTGTGTCAAAACTCTGCACACTGCCGTACTCCCGCCCTCATGTCGGCGTCTTCCCAGCACGTAGGCTCCTACCCCTCCTTCCCGCCGCAGCCTGAGGGGGCGGGCGGGGCGGCGGGCGGCGGCGGCGGGGCGGACGCGGCGCTGGAGAGGACGCTGGTGACGCTCGAGGCGGAGGCGGACACTTCCGAGACACTTCCCGTCTGTTCACACCGCTGCGGTGAACAGGTCACGCTCGAGGCGGAGGCGGGGTCGGCGGCGGAGGTCGAGGCGGCGCTGGCGGACTTGGTGGCGGCCGTCGACCCCGCCGCCATCCTCAAGACGGAGTGAGGCTTGCTGCGCGAGGGGGGCGCGAGGCGAGGGCCGAGGGGGCGAGGAGGCGCGAGAGGAGGATCGAGAGGAGAGGCGCTCTGCGCGGGGAGCGGAGAGGAGGGCCGAGGCTCTCGCGGGGGGGTGCGTGGGTCTGCGGCGTCGAGCGGCGGAGCACGGCAAAACGTAGGCCCGCGTTGGACTTTCGGGTTCCGAGTCATCCCGGCGCCCACTGACCGAGAGATCAAAACTGAAAACACGACGGCCTAGTGTTGTGCGAGAGCCGAGTCAGAGGCGGACGTGAAAGAAAGAAAGAAAAGGGCGAGCTAACGTATGAATAAGAATTTTGAACTAAACGCCCTGCGCCCTGGTGCTGGTCGCACGACACACTAAAAGGTAAGGTAAGTCAGTCAGTCAGTGTTACACACGTCCTAGCATGGACGACGGGGCACACGCACTCGCGGAACACAGGGCATTACACACGAGGCGTTGTGTGCGTTCTCAGGGAAAGGCATCACCACAGACAAATGTATAGTCAGAGGGGCAGCAGTGGGGACCCCCACTCACGACCCCGCGAGCGCCTGTAGCGAGATGTCCATCGCTGCATTGGTTCTCGCCAAGCATGAGCGCACTGGTTTAGTGCGCGCAATGCGCGGGGAGGGCGGCCTAGCCCTCGCCGGCATGGCAAAGAAGGCGTCGGGCGGGCGCCTGTTCTCCAGCGTCTGGCGCCAGGCCGAGCGATCGGCGGCGAGCTCGGGCCACCTCGAGCGGTCGATGTGGAACTTGTCGAGCGCGGTGCGGATGCTGCGCCCAAACGACATGTTGGGGCACCCGATCGGCCGGCCGGTAAGGTAAATTTCTCCACACACACAAAGTGGTGGGGCAAGGGGGGGCGACCCTCGCATCTCCACACCCGCGGACACGGGCAGGAGCCCCACGGCATTCAAAGTGCAAGCACTGGCCCGGTGCACGTGGGTGAGCAGCCTGCCCGTCGGCATTTGTGCTCTGTGAGCGTCGGGTTTCGGTTGCGGACGTTGATCGCTCTATAGGACGTATTTCCTCCACTGCCTCTCCTCGGCGTCGTTCGAGAGCGGTGTGCCGAACGAGCTAAATACTCTTTTCCAGTTTCGCATGCAGTTCGGTTTTATTTTTCTCGTGATGCGTTTGGTGAGGTGGTCGGTGATGCCGTGAATGGTAATGTCAGAGAGCTTACGTGGACGGCCGTTGTCGGTTTTGCCCTTTTGCCCCTTGGGTCTCCAGCCCTCATTTCTCGGGTACGCGAGGTGTGTAGGCCCTATGATTGCGGGTTTTTTTATAGTCTGTTTGGCGCCGCTTCTCTCTCTCGCATAGGATACGCACTCGGCGGCACGAGGGCAGGGCTGGGCGTCCTATTTGTGCTCCTCTCCGTATCCCTCGCTCTTGGGCACTATTCATCTGACCACTCATCAGAGGGGCTTCTAGGCGATCGGCCGCGCTCCGGGGCAGGGCTGGGTAGGATGGGCTCGGGCCACTCGCCCGTGCGGGTGTATCCCCGCATGAGCCGGATGGAGGCCTCGACTGTCCCTCGCGGCAGGCTCTCGAGCAGCTCGAGCAGCTCTCCCGCCGCCACCGCCGCGTCGTACTGCTCCTTCAGGCCGAGCGCGCCGCAGACCCTGCGGACCGCCTCCTGCTGCACCTCGTCCGGTAGATCGGTGTCATAGCCGGAGGAGTCGGCGGAGGACGCCCGCTTGGCGGGCGGCGAGTCCGGTGAGGGAGAGCGCGACTGGCGCGAGGGCCCGCCGCCGCGCGCCGACAGCGCGTTCTTGTCGACGAGCCGGGGTCCAGCATTGGCGCGGCCGCTGGCACTGCGGCCCTTGCCGCGCTGCTGCTGCCCGCGCTTCCTTCCCGGATTAGGGACAGTGAAAGTGCAGCCGCGCCTGCACGCCGCCGCCGCCGGCGGCGGCGGCACGCGCGCGGCGGCGGCCGGGCCCGCAGGCGCGGCGGGCTGGCCTCCCGCGGTGGCACCCTGCGGGTGCAATGCGGCTGCGGCGGCGTACGTCATGTTGGTCGCCGGCTCCGCAGCTGGCGGCTCGGCGGCAGGGGCTGGCGGCGCCGCAGGGCTCGCGCTCGCGGGCGGTTCCGTGGCATGCGCCTGCCGCTCATGGCGGACCGCGCGCTCGAGCTGTGAGTGCGGGTGGAGCTGCACAATGACGTCACCGCTCTGCGTCGCGGTGAAGGAGACCGAGTACGGCGCGTCGCCGTCGTTCTTCTTCTCCGCGTAGACGAGCGCGTAGTCGCACACCTGTCGTTGGTGGTCAGTGAATATGCTCTCCGTGCAGCGCTCGGCGGCGCCGACGCGAGCAATATGTAATTTTTTTAGATGCCAATCTGGATTGGAAAATTCTTTTTCTCGAGACTGGCTCAGGCTTCTTCGCGTCGCTGCCTGCCGCCCGATGCGTGCCTCTCTGCGTATCCTCTCTGCCCTGTGCGTCGCCAACGGACTCGCCTCGCCTCTGCTCCGCGGCGCGTCCGCGCGCGCAAAGGGCGAGCCCGGCGTCGACAAGCCTCACGGGCTGCTCGCTGCGGCCACCTTCTCGTGGCTAGACCCGATGCTGCACCTCGGTGCGACGCGGCCGCTGCAGCTGCCCGACCTCCCGCCGCTCGAGGCGCCGGGCCTGCCCACTCGCGCCGCCGCCGACAGTTTTGAAGAGCAGTGGGCGCGCCTGTCGGCGTCGTCCACGCCGACGGCGCTCAACGTCTCGGAGGTCGCCGTCGCGCTCTGGCGGTGCCACGGCGGTCGGTTCGCGTGGGCGGGCGGGCTCAAGCTGTGCTGCGACCTCTGCCAGATCGCCTCGCCGCTCCTCCTCAAGCGGACCATCGCCTTGCTCGAGTCTGGCGCAGGGCTGAGGCGCGGTGCCGGGGCGGTGGCCGGACTGCTCGGCCTGACCGCGCTGCAGGCATCTGGTAGTCTCGGCTGTCTCGCGGCTACACCTCGGCTGCACCTCGGGGCGTCTACGCCATATCTCGTCGGACCTCGGCTGCATGTGCATGCACCCGGCTGCACCTCGGCTGCACCTCGGCTGCACCTCGGCTGCACCTCGGCTGCACCTCGGCGCTGCAGGCCTTCGCATTGCGGCACTACTTCGCCTCCGTCTTCAAGACGGGGCTCGCGATGCGGGCTTCCCTCGCCGTAATTAATTAGCAATGAGTAAATAGTGTTTTGTTTAGCTAATCAGGCTCGCGATGCGGGCTGTCGTGGCTTCATTAATGAATGATTAATGATTAATGATTAATACCGACTAATTAATCAGGCTAGCGATGCGGGCGGCGCTCGTCGGGGCAACCTACCGCAAGCTCCTCCTCCTCTCCCCGGCCGCTCGCTTGCGCGCCTCCTCGGGCGAGATCACCCGAGATGACACGAGATCACCCAAGATCACACGAGATCACCCGAGATCACACGAGATCGGCCGAGATCACACGACTTCGGCCGAGACTGAGGGTTGGCGCATCCGTCTCGGAAGGCGAGATCACCAACCTGATGGGCTCGGACGCGCAACGCATCGCCGACCTCACGCCGTACCTGCACGCGCTCTGGTTCGCGCCGCTGCAGGCGACCGCCGCGATGGCGCTCGAGCTGCGTACAACTCCAGCTGTGAACGGCGTATCTTCACGCCGCCCGGCTGCGCGAGACAGGTGACCGCCGCGCTGGCGATCCTCGGCCGCGAGCTCGGGTGGGCGGTGCTGCCAGGGCTGGCCGTGATTGGAGCAATGTTGCGGCTGAACAAGTCCATCGCCGCGGCCACGTGCCGTTTGCCCGCAGAAGCGGCTGTTGCCACTACCGGGCGTTTCTTCATGGCACTATCGGGTGTGAGTAGGTACCGAGTGCAGAAGCAGCTGCAGCTGGCGCGCGACGAGCGCGCGCGGCTGACCCGCGAGCTGCTCGGCGGCATCAAGGCAGTGTAGTTGCTCATACGTTGTTATTGGTCACTAGCCATTAATGAATGACCCGCGTACTGCTCGGCGCATCAAGGCGATCAAGCTCAACGCGTGGGAGGCGCCGTTCGGCGGGCGGATCGAGCGAGCGCGAGACGCGGAGCTCGGGCTGATGCGGCGGCTGGTGAAGCTGCGCTCCCTCCTCTCGGCCCTGTTCACGTGCACGCCGACGCTCGTCGCCGTCGTCATGCTCGCCGCCTCCACCTACGCGTACCGCACGCCGCTCACTCTCAAGACTGCGATGACAGTGCTAGCGACGGTCAACCTGCTCCGCTCGCCGCTGGTCTTCCTCCCGCTCGTGCTGCAGTCGCTGCAAGAGGCTTCCCTCTCCTTTGGCCGCATGGCATCTTTCCTGCGGCTGCCCGAGTCCACCCCTCTTCCCGGCAACGATTTGGCCGAAGTCGGAGTCGCCTTCCACGCCGCGACGCTGCAGTGGCCGTCCGACGCAGCGTCCGGCAGTGGCGATGGCAGTGGTGGCGACGCCAGTGGTGGCGATTTTAGTGGTGGCGACGCCAGTGGTGGCGATGGCGGAGGCGGCGGAGGCGGGTTCGCGCTGCGCGACATTAGCCTCTCGGCAACGGGCGGCCAGCTGGTTGGCGTCGCGGGCGCGGTGGGGAGCGGCAAGTCGAGCCTGCTGGCCGCGCTGCTTGGGGACATGCCGTGCTCCCGTGGGTCTGTCCAGCTGCGCGGCGGCATCGCCTACGCCGCGCAGACGCCGTTCCTGCTCTCTGCGACGGTGCGCGACAACATCCTCTTTGGCAAGCCGTACGACGCCGACAGGTTTGCACGGGTGGTCAAGGCGTGCCAGCTGCTGCCCGACCTGGACAGCCTCCCGTTTGGAGAGCTGACGCTGCTCGGCGACAAGGGCGTTGCCCTCTCCGGAGGCCAGAGAGCGAGGGTGACGCTCGCGCGAGCGGTCTACTCGGACGCGCAGGTGGTGCCCGACCTCAGTCATTAATTCATTCATCTACTCATGTTATTAATTCATGAAGGTGGTCTTGCTCGACGACCCTCATTCACAACTTGATTCATTCATTCATTGAGATTCTTATCTTTCTTAAGCCATTCATTCCTCTCTACTCTTATTACTTCATTCCCGAAGGTGGTCCTGCTCGACGACCCGCTGGCCGCGTGCGACCCGACCGTGGCACAGCGGCTGATGCAGCGAGTCATCGGCCCACGCGGGCTGCTCAAAGACAAGCTGCGCGTGTTCGTCTCGTCGTCGCTCGAGCCGCTTGCCGAGGCCGACGCGATCCACGTGCTGGCTGCGGGCGGCGTGGCCGAGTCGGGCGACCGCTGCAGCGCTCGAGGCCGCGCGAGGGGCGTTCTTAGTGAATTCGTTCATATTATTAATTAGGCACTTTTGCGGAGCTAGAGGCCGCGGGAGGCGAGTTTGCGCGCCAGCTTGCTCTCAGCCGCGAGCAGAGGTCAGGCATGCAGGCGGCGGAGGAGGGCGGCGAGGGCGCGGCGGCCGTCGAGGCGGCGGCGCACGAGGCGGCACACGAGGCGGAGGCGCCCCCCTCGCCTCCGCACGTCCTTTCGGTGGGCGACGCCGAGAAGGCTTGCTAACCCGACCCCTACCCCTACCCCTACCCCTACCCCTACCCCTACCCCTACCCCTACCCCTACCCCTACCCCTACCCCTACCCCTACCCCTACCCCCACCCCCTACCCCTAACCCTAACCCTAACCCTACCCCTAACCCTCACCCGACAGACAAAATAGCATCCAGCTCCCTCAGTCTCTCAGTCTCAGTAATAAGCTAATTAACTAAGTTAATGAGTAGGCGTGCACGGCGTCGGAGGCCCCCTTGATTAACTAAGGGGTGACGTGATAATGAACCAATGAATGAGTAGGCGTGCACGGCGTCGGAGGCCACGGCGTGCGAGGTCGTCGCCCACGCGGAGCCGCCGGGAGGGGAGGCGGAGGCTGCCGCCGCTGCTTCCGGCGGGGAGGGAGACGGCAGCGGCGGCGGGGCGGCGGCCGGCGCGGGTGGGGAGGGGAAGGAGGAGGAGGCGAGGGTGACTGGCGCGGTGCGGCGGGAGACGCTGGCTCGGTGGCTGGCGGCGGCGGGAGGGAGGAGGGTCGTGCTGTTTGCGCTGCTTCCGCTGGTTGCGGCGGAGCTGGTCTCGACAAGCTCTTCGTGCTGGCTCGGCTTGATTTTTCGTGAGCAAAGGTTAATGCACTGCTTCCTAGGTCTCGACAAGCTCCTCGTGCTGGCTCACCTGAAGTAAGTAATGAGCAACGAATTCATCACCTGCCTAGGTCTCGACGGGCTCCTCCTGGTGGCTCACCCGGTGGGCAGCCGCCCCCGCCACGGCGCTGCTGCCGCCCCTGCTCCGTGTCCTTCACGTGAGATCGCCCCAGATCACCCTCCTTCGGGCGGCGGCACGAGTAGGCGCAGCTGCCGTACCTGCTCGGGTTTGCGGGATGGGCAGTGGCGAGCGCGGTGCGTGCCGCGGCGCGGCTTCGAGGCGGAGATTGCCCGAGATCGCACCCGAGATTGTCCGAGATCAGGTGCTGGTCGTGGTCCGTTCTCGCATGATGCTCAGCCTCGGCCTGCTGGCGGGCGAGGCGAGCCACTCCTACGCCCTGACCAGCCCGGATTAATGAACCAATTACTGAGTACATAATTGATGAGTGAACGATTCAGGCGAGCCACTCCAACTTCCTGACGCGCCCGAGTTGATTCACTACTGAGCGCATGCTAAACAAGTGACCAGGTACTCCACTCCGACCTCCTCACCCGCGTCTTGGCCGCGCCGCTGTCGTTCTTCGACGTGACACCGCGCGGGCGCGTCCTGTCTCGCTACCGCCGCGAGACGGCATGCGTGGCTGGCCCTGTGCCGGAGGGTGGTGGTTGTCTCCTCGCCAGGCGCGTCCTGTCTCGCTTCAGCCGCGAGATGCTCACTGTGGACGTGTCGCTGCCGTCGGCGCTGCAGACGTACCTGTCGACTCTCGCGTCCGTCGGCACAACCCAACCCGCCCCCACCCCACCGTACCCGAACCCACCCTCTCCTATACCCCACCGTACCCGAACCCACCCTCTCCTATCCCCCACCGTACCCGAACCCACCCTCCCCTATACCACGGTACCCGAACCCACCCTCCCCTCCCCCACCGTACCCAAACCCACCCTCCCCTCCCCCACCGTACCCGAACCCACCCTCCCCTCCCCCACCGTACCCGAACCCACCCTCCCCTCCCCCACGGTACCCGAACCCACCCTCCCCTACCCCACGGTACCCGAACCCACAGGCTCGACCGCGCTCGTCGTGCTCGCCGCGTCGCCCCTCTTCGGCGCCTTCCTGCTGCCCCTCGCCTTTGCGTACTCTGCCGTGCAGGCCTTCTCCCCCCCCCTTCTCTGCCGCGCGAGCTGAAACAATCAGTTCAGGCATTCCTTCAGTATTGAGTCATTACGCAGGCCTTCTACTCCGCCTCGTCGCGCGAGCTGAAGCGTGTGGAGGCACGATAGCCGAGATGCAGCCGAGAAGCGGGCGAGATGCGGACTGATCGTCCCTGACACGTCCCTGACACGTCCCTGACACGTCCCTGACACGTCCCTGACATTGTCCCTGACACTGTCCCTGACACGTCCCTCACTCATCCCTGACACGTCCCTGACACGTCCCTCACTCATCCCTAACCCGTCCCCTGACCCGTCCCCGACACGCCCCCCCCCCCCCCCTTCAGGCGGCCACCCGCTCGCCCCTCCTCTCCCACGTGGCGGCCTCCCTCGACGGCCTCGCCGCCATCGGAGACCCTTCGACGCGCGCCTTCTCCCTGCCCCGAACCGCCTCTTCTCCTCTTTTCTACATACAGGCCCTCGCCATCTCCCAGCCCGTTGTCGCGATCCTTCTTCCCGCTGTGTGAGCGCCTCTGCTTCACATCTGCTTCTATAGGCCTCGCCACCATCCGCGCCTTCGATGCGCGCCGCCGCTTCGGCAGCGAGTGCGCGCCGACACTGCACACGAACTAGCGCCGGCGAGTACACGGTAGTGAGCACACGGAGTGAGCTCAAATAGGTGCGAGCGGACGCTGGACGCGAACCTTCGCGCCTCACTCGCCTCGGCGCTTGTCAACTGCTGGCTCGGCCTCCGGCTCGAGCTGCTCGGCGCGACCATCTCCGCCGCCGCCGCAGCACTCGCCTTCGCGCGGAACAGCGCGTCGGCCTCCGCCTCCTCCGCCATCGCCGCCGGCTTGCGCGGCGCCGGCCGGGGGAGGGGGGGGGGGGGGGCGGAACTGTGCACCGCGTCTGTTCACACCCCCCCCGGCTGTGAACAGGCGCCGGCGGGGTCGGCACGGCGGCGCTGGGCGTCACGCTGGCGCTACAGGTGTGACGAAACACGCTCAGCTCATTAATTAGAAGTACTTAGACTTCATTAATCAGTCAACTAATCACGCTGGCGCTACCGGTGACACAGACGCTCAATCTCCCCATATCTCCCCATATCTCCCCATATGTCCCCCTATCTCCCCCGATCTCCACATCTGGCGCTGCAGACTCTATCTCCCGACATCTCTCCATATCTCCCGACATCTCGCCGCTGCAGGTGACGCAGACTCTCAACTGGTCGGTGCGGCAGGCGACCGAGCTTGAGTCGCACCTGATCTCCCCATATCTCCCCATATCTCCCGACCTCTCCCCGCGGCAGGCGACCGAGCTTGAGTCGCACCTGATCTCGGTCGAGCGCGGCTGCTCGCCCACTCTGCCCAAGCATTCCTTCCTGAAGTTGGCCAACTCATTCATTAAGGTGCAGCGGGCTTCAAGCGTTCACCGTCTATTGATTCATGACTTACTTAACTCAGTATTGAATGGTACAAGGTGGAGCGGCTGCAAGCGCACACGGCCTACTTAATCACCTACCTAATCAACCAATCCATTCATTCATCAAGGTCGAGCGCGGCTGCAAGCGCACACCGCCCAACTCGTCCATTCCTCACTGCCATTCAGCCCGTTCCTTCAGGTGGAGCGGCTGCAACCGTACACGTCCCTCGAGCCTGAGCCGGGGTGGCTCCCACCGAACGCCGCGGCGGCGACGTCTGCGCCGCCGCTGCGGCGGGTGGCGCCGACACTCACTGGCGCTGGCGGCGGCGGGGAGGGCGGCGGGGAGGGCGGGGGAGGCGGCGTTGCGCGCTTCCCCGCCTCTGCTGCGTACTTGCCGGAGGGTGGGCGGGGGAGCGGCTTGGTGCTGCGGGACCTGTCGTTGCGCTACCGCGACGGCCGCCCGCCCTCTCATGCCCGGGAGATGGGGGGGGGGAAGTGTGAGCGGCGCCTCTTCACAGCGCCGCGCTGTGAACAGGCCGCCCTCTCATGCCCGGGAGATGGGGGGGGGGGAAGTGTGAGCGGCGCCTCTTCACAGCGCCGCGCTGTGAACAGGCCTCCCTCTCGTGCTGGACGGCGTCAGCGCAGAGGCGCGGGCGGAGATCTGGAGCTGGGCGTGTGATGGGGAAACGGCGCGGAGATACAGTGCGCGCTTGCGCGAGCAGGTGCGGCCGGGCGAGAAGGTCGGCGTGGTCGGTCGCACAGGCTCTGGCAAGTCTTCCCTCGTCGCCGCAATCACGCGGCTGGTCGCGCCGCCGCTCCGGAGCGAGATTAGCCGAGAGAGGCTCAGATTGGCTGAGATTGGCCGAGATTGGCTTGAGATTGGCCGAGATTGGCTTGAGATTGGCCGAGATGGGTTGAAATTGGCCGAGGGGCTGGCCAAAGTCGAATCATGATTGTGCCGTCGAGACACCCCCCCCCCCCTGGCCCCCCCCCCCCCCCCACACCCACTCACTCCCCCGCCTCTCCAAGATTAGCTGTGACCGGGCTTGCGGCCGCAGGAGCGGCGCCGTGGAGATGGACGGCGTGGACGTGTCAACGACGCCGCTGCTGGAGCACCGCGAGGGCGTGGCTGTTATCCCGCAGGCGAGATTGCGCGAGATTGCCCGAGACTGATAGCCGAGAGGGAACCTCAGAGGCCTCCTTTGTTGCGGCCGGTGCGAGGCAGCGTGTCGCCCGAGCTGTGGCGCGAGATTGCGTCGAGATCGCAGCAGCCGACTCTCTTCTCGGGGACTCTCTCGGGTAATCTCGGCTAATCTCGGGTAATCTCGGGTCATCTCGGGTCATCTCGGGTCATCTCGGGTCATCTCGGGTCATCTCGGGTCATCTCGTGTCCTCTCGGCTAATCTCGGGTGATCTCGGGTCATCTCGGGTCCTCTCGGGTCATCTCGGGTCATCTCGGGTGATCTCGCAGGAGCCGACTCTCTTCTCGGGCTCGGTGCGCGACAACCTCGACCCGAAGGGCGCCTGGTCCGAGGAGGCGCTGTGGGAGGCGTGAACAGCGTCTCTTCACACCCACTGCTGTGAATAGGAGCCTGGTCCGACGAGGCGCTGTGGGAGGCGTGAACAGCGTCTCTTCACACCCACTGCTGTGAATAGGAGCCTGGTCCGACGAGGCGCTGTGGGAGGCGACACTAATCAACACTAATCAACACTAATCAACACTAATCAACACTGTGTAACACTAATTAACCGCTCTGGGAGGCGCTGCGGCGCGTGCAGATGGCGCACGCGGTGCCCTCGCTGCAGTCGCCCGTGGCGCAGGAGCCTAGAATTGCACAACAAAGCCTGAAGCGGGATGCGTGCTCATGTGTCTCAACCAGCACTCGAGAGAGGACGCGCATTCAGCTGCATTCGACCGTATTCGGCTTATCCACTGTCTATGCCTCCCTCGTATTCGCGCGGTGCTCGCAGTACTCTGCACGACACCGCCTTCCCGCCCTGAGGTTGGCGCACCTCACCACCGCTGCTCACCGCGCAGGCGGAGGACGGCGCTAACTTCTCGGCGGGCCAGCGGCAGCTCCTCTGCATCGCGCGCGCGCTGCTCTCGCGCTGCTCGCTCGTGCTGCTCGACGAGGCGACGTCATCTCGGGTAATCTCGGGTAATCTCGGGTAATCTCGGTCATTTCGCTCGTGCTGCTCGACGAGGCGACGTCCTCCGTCGACGCCGAGACGGATGCGCGCACCCTCTGCGGGACCGCCCGCTCCTCCGCACCTTTCTTTCTTCTTCTGCACCCACAGCTCCACTTGCTGACAGGCGCTCATCCAGCGGACCGTCCGCTCCGCGTTCGGCCACGCGACAGTGCTCACCATCGCGCACCGGCTCTCGTCGGTCCTCGACGCGGACAAGATCATGGTGCTCGAGGCGGGCAGGCTGGTCGAGTTCGGCTCGCCGCAGGAGCTGATGGCCAAGTCGGGAGGCGCCTTCCGCCAGCTCGTCGTGAGCGGCGCGAGCAGCTGAGGGCGGTGCATGTTCGAGGTGCGTGTTGTGTGTGGGCGTGCGCCTGGCGCAGCGGCGGCGCGGCGAAGACACCCACGGCTCTGTCTTAAACCACTTACGTTTGGAGTTTGCACTTGGCATAGCACTGTGCTTTCCTACAAGGTGCTGGTTTCCAACAGGATGCACGCTGGTCACTGTTGGTCTGTGCGCAAGGTTTAGTAAAGCCGTAGAGAGACACAAAACGTGGGTCACCGGGTCAGTCGTACGCGACCAGTGGTGGCAGCTTTCGCTGGACATGATCTCCCGACCATCAAAGCAGAGGTCCTCAGTTGGAACATCCCAGCCACACCCACACCCACGACACCCGCACCCCTCCCATCTGCCTGCTCCGCGAATCCGGACTGTGTTGCATTGGGATTGGCCGGCAACTGCTGTCCAAACGACGATGGTGTCACTTTGGGCTGCTGCCGTTAGTGTCGCAAGAGATTGCGGACAATCAACCCCAGCTTATGTTGATGCAAAGGGGGGAAAGGTACCCTCGACCCTCCTGAGCCCCTGCGCAACAGCAGAACCTTACGAGGCACTGCTGCAGGACATCCTGTCAAAACTAGTTAGAACATTGATGGATTCGTCTGGTCGCGCAGCGTAAGCTCATCAACAATTGTGAGACTAGCGTGAGCCCACGTTGCGAAGACGCCAGGTGAGTCTCGCCGCAGAGCACACGAGATCTGGGGAGATCTGGGGAGATATGGGGAGATATGGCGAGATATGAAGCGCCTTTGCGAGGCCGCGCTGGAGGTGGGACATCGCCGGAAACGAATTCTCCCGCCCCCTCTCCTGACAGCCCCGCAAAGGTGGGGGGGGAGGGTGGGGTCCTGACAGCTCCGCCACACACACAGGCACAGACAGCGTTGTGGAGAACGATAGACAGCCGCTGCATCTGCAGCCCGTCACTCACACCCACGACACCGACACTGGGCACTCTCGAGGTTCTCGAGGTGGATATCCTTTGGCCGCGTTGGGTAGCGAGGATTGGTGTAACACTGGGCACGGGATTGGCGCGCACTGGCACTGTGCGAAGAAAAGAATTTCCCGAGCTTGGTTCTCGCACACGCACGATTCACACAAAAACACAACCCCGCACGATTCACACGACGGACAAGGCGCAGACGACGGCTTCCTTAGAAGCCATCGTTCTCGCCACAAGAGCCGGCGTCCGAATTCCCCTCCGTCCGACACCCATCCGCCACCCCACCCCACCCCACCCCGGAAGAAAAGAATGTTACAAAAAAGCTCTCTCGAAGAAAAGCATTTTAAAACACTGCTGACACTGCCGTGGGCGGATGACTAGGGGAGAGAATGCGGAGAGACTAGCTCGCAGGTAGATGTGCTCAGGGCCAAGGGCAAGGGGATGAGGGGAATGTGTCAGTGTGAGGGGTGCACCACCACCAGCCGCAGAGCGTCGTGTTTTGCCTTTGAAAACTGAACAGTTTTCTCCCCGTTGATAAATGAGCTCGACTTAAGACAGTCAACAGGGGTGCCTGTCCCCCGCCTGAGACTAGAGACACCACTGCTGACACTGCCTCGGCGATAGTCAGGTCAGACTCGAGACACACGCACGCCATCCACACACGACCCACGGCCACACACCAACCTCCTCTACGAACGTAGATCACCGAAGCTTCAGTCAAGCTTTGCTTAACGCTGATACACTACCTGCAACCCCTCGCGACACTAAATCGTCGTCATTCTGCTCGGAGAGGACAGCCGGCCGCACGCTGCAAGCTTTGCCTGCGCAGGCGGTGGGAGAGCGTCGTGAGCCCGGGCGGCTGCCCACCGTCGCTAAAGTGTTGCTCCGCGAGCGCGAGGCGGCGTCGCCGAAGCGGCGGCGTTTGCGCCTGCACGATGTCGTTCAGCTCGCCTTGCGACGCGACCCGCAGGAAGGGGTGCGCCAGCATCTCGGCTGCGCTGGGCCGGCCGGCGGGGTCCTGTAGCATAGCGCGGCGAGGTGAGGGTTTAATGCTACAGTGCGACTGGACCATCAGCATGCGCTCCTTCACGAGCGCGGTGGCCACAAAGTCGCGTAGGCGGGCCGACGCCGCGCGGGCTGGGTCCAGCTCGGCGGGCGGCCCCTGCACAATCTGCATCATCGCCTGTGCGGGAGACGGCGATGGGGTCTGGTGGATGCTGCTGCGCACAGAATGGTAGTCGGCGGCATCTCAGATAGCTCTCGGCTTCGTCGCGCCTCGTAGATGCTGCACGCGGTCGAGAAGGGCGGCTTCATCTCGACGAGCTCGATGGCGGTGATGCCAAGCGACCAGATGTCGACCTAGGAGGAGGCAGGGGAGGGGGCAAGTGTGACGGATCTGGGAGCTGAACAATTTCAGGAACACGCACAGCGGCACGTCGCGAAACGCGAAGGGCGTGGGGGGAGGCGCGCCTTCGTGTCGTACCCTTGCTTGCCCGGCAGGAGACCCAACGTCTCTGGCGCCATCCAATGCGGCGTGCCTACGCGCCCCGCGTGGGATCTTTATGGGCACACTCGCCACCTCAGTCGGCCCTCTGGTGTGGCGCGCCAATCATCGTGCCCCGCTTGGACATGGTGTTGAAGAGCTGCGCCACCTGGGGACGTACGGCCGAGAGCTGGGCGAGGCGGGGCGAGGGTGAGCGTCTAACTAATGACCTGCGCCACCACTCCAAGGTCGGCGAGCTTGACGGTGCCGCTGGACGTCAGCAGCACGTTGGCCGACTTGATGTCGCGGTGAATGGCCTTGCGCTCGACGTGCATATAGTCGAGCGCACGCAGCACGCCCTGGCAGACGCACGCGACGCACGGCTCGCTAAAGCCGTGGCCCATCTTGCGCATCACCTGAACATGGCTGGGTAGGTGAAGAGGCGCAGCGCGCAAACGCACTCCACGGCGCCCTGCTCGTGCGCGTCGCCTCGAGCGTCGAACCCGCCTCGCAAAACTCCATCACCACCCACAGCGTCGAGCGCATCTGGTACTCGCGCATAAATGCGTCCTGCGAAACACGAAGGAGGTGTCAGCCTGCATAGCCTCCACCGTTTGGTCGCTCGCCCGCGCTGGAGCAGGCTTTGCCCCTTGGTGTGCCCGAGTCGCCTCTCCCTCTTCTCCTGTTTCTCGGCTACATCTCGGAATGTGGCGCCTTGTACGCAACGATGTGCTCGCAATCGCACTCACGCAGTATGCGAATCTCGCGCTTGATGTCCTCCGCCGTCTCCGCCTCGAGCGGCAGCACCTGTTCATGGCGTGATAGATACCCGTTTGCAATCTTGGCGGTGTCAGCCCCAATCTCAGCCACATCTCAGCCCCATCTCGGGCCGCATCTTGGCCGCATCTGGGGCCGCATCTCGGGCCGCATCTCGGGCCGCATCTCGGCCGCATCGCGGCGCACCTTAACTGCAACCTCCTCGTCGCCGCACATGCCGACATAGACGCTGCCGCACGAGCCCGCGCCGAGGTGGCGCGTGAGCACGGTCTTGCGCGAGTACGGCCGTGCCCTGTGCCGGCGCGGCGCAAGCCCATTGTGCCGTGGAGGCGGCTGTCCGAACACGCCGCCCGCCTCTGTAGCCTCCTCCCTCACGCGGTCGGCCTAGGGCAAGGTAAGGCAAGATTAGCGATGCTTGTCCATACGCTACGTTGGGCTGACCCTCGTGTCTTGTGAGCCCCGATTGGCATTGATGTGCCCGGCCCGCTGCGCTTGGGCGAGCCGCGGTGTGCGCGTGTGTGCACGTGTCTTTGTGAGGTGCGACCTGACGCGGCGTGCTGTTCTTGCTCGTCGGCCGGCTGCCAGGGCTGCTCGAGCCGTCGGAGAGGCGGCTCGTCGGTGCGGCACTGAGCGCCGCCTCTTCCGCCTGCTCACGCCGACCGCCGTGAAGCGGCGCACTCAACACTTCTCGGTGCGGGCACCGTCTGCATCTGCCTGCTGCGCCGCCTGCGCGGCCATCGCGTCAAAAGCCTCGGCCTGGAATGGCCCGTTTGGTTGCCGCTGGAGGGGTACCACGACCGTGTCCCGCGACAGGCGCGGCCGCCGACTAAAGTCGAGCGCAAAACGCAGCGGGCGGTTCGGGCTCGGCCCCGCAGGAACCTATGCGGGACACACACTCTCCTCACAAACGTGCGCGGCTGGTGCGGGCATGGAGGGTGGGGCCGCGCGCAGCCGCCTCGTCACGTGGGCTTGCGGTTGGCGTCCAGCGTGCGTCGCGAGGCGGTGGAGGGGTCGAGGCGCGGCCCGACCCCGCCGTAACCCCTCGTCCACCTGAGCTCCGCGCAGCCTTTGGAGACTCAGCGGCAGGCTCGAGCGCCGCCGCCAGCGCCGCCTTCGCGCGCGATGCCGACGCCTCGGCCTCCTCGATCTCATGGCTACGCAACCTGCGGATACGGCGCTGGCATGTGTCACGGCCGGGTCTCAGAGGGGGTGGCTCCCTCTTGTGTCGTGCAAGCCGGCTCATATCGAGCTTCGGAGTTACGAGCGGCCGTGCAGCCGCCGGCCGATGCGGAGTGCACTCATCGCTCGAGCTGCTCTCGGCTTCCCCCCCGCCGGCAGCCCCATCACTTCTGCTGCTACTGCAGCTGCCGCCACTGCCTCCCCTGCTGCCACAACAGCCGCCGCTGCCGCCGTGGCGGCCACTGCCGCCGTCCCAGCCGCTGGAACGGTCAGCGCTGTTCCTGCTGCCGATGCTGCCACCACCGCCGCGAGCGACGCCGTCACTGTCAGAACGGCTGTCGCTCCTACTTCTGCTCCCGCCGCGCGCGGCAACCGAACCGCATGCCCGCGCAACGCTTGTCACTTCGCGGCCACGCTTCTGCACGGCGGGATGGTGGCGATAGCGCTCGAGAAGGCGTTTGAAGTGCGCCGCCGCTGCGGTCGAGTCGCCGGCGGCAGCGCGCTGCGCCAAGCAGAGCATCTCCTCCATGCTCATCGAGCGCACCTGCTCACGCAAGGCGATGCGTCGAGAGGTTTGCGAACAAACATGCCCTTCCTCACTCATCATCCGCACGGTGCGAGCCGGCTGTGGCGGCGGCCGCTGCGAGCCGCGAAGCTCCCAGAAGGGCCTCGACTTTGCCGAGAGCCGCCGCCCGCTGCCAACCTACGCGGTGGGGTGGAGTCAGGCGAGAAGGCCGCACCTATAACGTCTGCCGCCTGCCACGAATCTCGCCAACGGCCATGGGCGGCCGAGACTTGCACGCGTTTGAGCCCCACACTCGTGGACAAGTGAGATGCAAGGGTGGGTATTCGATATCTAGGTCGCCGGCCGTTTCGCTGCCACTCGGAGATCGAAGCGCCGGCGACGGAGCCGACGTGCTCGACTGGTCCATCGACGGGCAGGCCGCGCTCCCGTCCGCGCGTTCCGCCGACTGCACGCACCTCCGCGCCGCGCGCCTCTGGATCTGCGCCATGACCCACGGAGGCACGGTGTCGCCCCCAATCCTACGTTGCGGAGACGGCGGACATGAAGGTGTGGCATCTGCACAGCCTGCGGCGCCCGCTGAACGAGCACAGGGGGTCAAACCACATGCTGTGCAGTATGGGTGTGACGGAGTGCAGCTAATAGTTTGTCGTCGTTAGCTCGCAGCGAGCGCGTGCACATCTACGTGTTGAGTTCCTGTAGCAGAGCCCCGCGCCGTCCGCCGAAGGCGCACACCGCTCGGAGGCGAGCCGAAGCGTCGAGTGCGGGGACGAGCCAACCGCTGCCTCCTCGCCTTCCCCTGCCTCCTCGAGCAGAGAGACTAATCGGCTTGCCTCGGGCGCCTTTGTGGCTACGGCACGGACGTCGTCGATGGAACTGTGCTGTAGCAGCGCGCCGGCCGCAGCCGACTCAACGAGGTGGATCGAGAGCGGATCGAGTAGCCGTGCGTCCGTGTGTCCGTGCATTGCGAGCCCGCACAAGCGGGTGCAATCGGCGAGGATGCGTGCGGCATAGCCCGCCTCCGCGGCGTGCAGCGCTGCCGCCGCCACCGCCCCATCCGGCGCGAGGCCGCAAAGCCACACATGCGTGACGCAATGCGCCCGCAGCTGCTGCAGCACCGCCCGGAAGCAGCGCCGCGTGTGCGCGAAGGACGAGGAGGACGGCGTTGCCACCTCGACTTCGCCACCACTCCGCTCGAGGCCTGTCGGAGGGGAGCAGCAAGCAAAAGGCATTAGGATGTTATGTCGTCTGGATGGCACGGGGCGGGAGCTGAGCGGTGGCTCGCAAATTGCCTTGTGCGACGTCGGCCCCGTGCGTGCCCTCGATGCAGTGCTCCGGCCACCGGCTGCCGCTGCCCGGCTGGCGCTGGCAAAGGGAGAGGAGGACGAGGTCGAACGAGGCGGAGCGGCGAAACGCGTTGATGCGGCCAAGGACATCCTCCGCACTGCGCGGCGCCGCCTCGCCCATCTCTCGCGCGACGACCGCCTGAGACGGGTTGGTGGGCCAGCGAGGCATCGCAGGTGATAGGGCGACGTTGCGACGGCGAGCGTGGGGTGTGCAGAGAGGGTAAAAGGGGCGCCTCGACCCCGTCGATGGCGCCAGCTAGCGCGCCCCCCGGCGGCACCAAGTCGTTCTGTGGCGCCACAATCAGCAATGCGTGGACAGGAGCCGCCCCGCCGCCCTTGGCCGAGTTGAGCGAGGCAAAGACCTGCAGCTTTGCGTCGGAGGCCACGACGCCCTCGCACGTGGCGGCCGGAGCCACTCCAAACCTCGACGCTGCGGCGATGACCTCGGACGGAGCGCAGAGACGGCCGCCGCGGGTGGCGCCATTGGTGCGCGCCGAGGCGGCGGACGCGTCGTCGACGGGCACCTCTCGGCCCTCGAAGGAAACGTACAGGTGCGAGGACGCCTGGCGCTCCGAGACGGGGTCGTGAGAGAGAGAGAGAGAAGGGCGAGGACCCAGTGCTGGAGATGGAGGAACCTACGCTCGTCTCCGGGGCTCTGTGGGTCCGCTAATGAATCTCCGCTTATCGCGGTCGTGCTGCCTCTCGTCATCTAGCTGCGGGTCTTGGTCCGCTCGGCTGGTTCACGTCATCCCGGCTCCTCTCTGTTGGGCGCCTTGCGGCTCTTGTCGTCGAGGTCGCCGATCGCCCACGACTTGAGCGCATAGATGTTGGAGAGGTGGAGGGTATCGTGCACGTCGAACTCTGGCTCCTCCGCCTCAGCGCTCGGCCGAGGACTGCCGCCGCCGCCACCACCGCTGCCAAAGGGCCGGTGGAAGCCCGATCCAAAGCCGGACCCACCAAACAGCCTGCGGCCGCGCCGCGCTGGCTTGGAGAAGGAGTGGGCGCGGAGGCGGCCACCGACGACGACGAAAGTGTGCGTCTCGCGCTTGGGGAGCGTGGCCAACAGCTGCGGCAGCCACTTCCCGCCCAGCAGCTCGCCGTCGACCGAGAGGACCACGTCGCCGACGGCGAGCCTAGGTGGTGAAGCCAGGAGTGGCAGCGCCGTCAGTGCGACGGTCAACGGTGCCGCCTCGTGTGAGCACGGTGTGGCGACGGCCATGGATGCAGCGTGTTCGAGTGTCCGGATCCATCCTCTCTAACCGCGCGCGACGCTAGCATCTACGACTTCGAGCCGCGCATCCTCGTCGGCCGCTGAGCCAGGCACGATACGCACGATTATGTTGCGCTCGTTGACGTCGACTCCAAAGCCCTGGCTGGTGCGGCGCACTGGCACGGAGCGTGATTTTGGAACCGAGCCGCTGGCCGAGTCTGAACCTCGCCGCACGGGAGGCCCGGGGAGGGTGTCGTCCGAGCCAGCCGCAGCCGCCGGCGCGCCAACCGAAGCCACCGCCGGAGGAGGCCGTCCGGAACGCATGAGGGACGGGGAGCGCCGCGACACTGACGCGGGGTCGAGGGCAGAGCCAAGGTGGGAGGCGGTGCACGGCGTTGAGACGCGGCCACATTGCGCCTCAATCTCCGCGTGCGCCGCCGAAACGATGTGCGACCAGGGCACCAGCCCAGAGCGGCGTCCGCTCGGTGGCGCGTCGGCGGCGCCCTCACGGCTCACGCGGCAGAGGCACCAGCCCTCGGGCGGCACTGGCTCGTCGTCAAGCAGCACGTCGACAAACGTTCCGCGCTGCACCGACAGCTCCCCGCTCTCGGGCAGTGCCACAAAGTCGCACATGACAAAGGCGGGAATAGGCGCCGGCGCCGAGGAGCCGCCCGGCGGAGAGGCCCCGCCCGGCGCCCGCCCTTCCTGGTCGGCCGGGACTGGCGATCCGCGGGCCACCAGCTGCCGCTCCTCGCACGCGGCGGCCGCGACGCGCTCTTTGGACGCGGCCTTGCCCATTGGGGTCAAGCGCGTCCACAAGTTACGACTTCGCTCGGAAAGGGGCGGGCTCCACTTCCGTTCCCACACCCGCATTCGTTTGCTGTGAATATAGGCCTGTGGGTAGTCTCCCCTCATTCCCAGGGCCTCCAGGGCTCGCACCTCAACCTCTCATAGACCAGCGCGCAGCGCTATAGGAGGTATTTTCTTCTCAATAACAAGGTCTGTGAACTCCAGGCACCAGGGAGCCCTGGACGCTGCTCGCTGGAGGTAAGGTAAGGTAAGGTAAACGTCTCCACACACACAAAGTGGTGGGGCAAGGGGGGGCGACCCTCGCATCTCCACGCCCGGACACGGGCAGGAGCCCCACGGCATTCAAAGTGCAAGCACCGGCCCGGTGCCGTGGGTGAGCAACCTGCACCCCACTCCCTCCCTCCCAGACACAGGACCCACACACAACCCCCACAGCGTGGACGACTACGTGTTCAGAAACACCAAGAAGGGTCGGAGGAGGGGGGGGGCAGAAAGGGTAAGATATGGTTGAAGCCAGCTAGCGGTCGGACGCCCTGTCGTCGGAATACTCCTCGGAGCCGGTGTCCTCGTCGTCGTCCTCGCCCGACGCGGAGATCGGGCGAGAGGTCTGCATCGGCTCGCCGGCTGTGAACCTGAACACGGCGTCGGCCGGCGCCGAGGCGCCGGCGGCCGTCATCAGGTGCATGACGAATCTGTCGCGGCATGCCGCATCTATCTCTCCATACTCGGCCAGCTCGGTTGCGAGCCAGTCCGAGGCGACGGTCGTCGCCACGGTCCCCTGGGGAACCTTGGCGTACACCTTGCTGGGGCCGCGCCGATATCCGTCGTCCCTCTCCGGGGGCAGCGAATATTCGACCTCTATTTTGGACCCGGCCTGGCTGCGCGTCTGCGCAGCTGCAGTCCGCAGCCCGGCCATCACGTACTGGATGTTCTCGCGCAGCTGCGCCCGCGGGGCCTCCGCGCGCTCGGCCTCGCTCGCGGCGCGCTCGCCAGCCTCCTTCGCCCGGCGCGCCTTCTGCCGGGCCTTCTTGGCCTTGCGTGCCGCGGCCCGAGCCGCGAGCTGCTCCTTGGTGAGCTCCTTCTTCTTTGGCGCGGTGCGCTCGACGTACGAGCGCTCCGCCGCCTGCACCGACGCGCGGTCGCCCGCGGCCTTCTCGTGCTTCAGGTCGATCTCGATGGTCGCGTAGCCAGGCCTTATCAGCCTGACCTGCGACGCACCTGCGATCCTTGCGACCATCACCGCGTCCTCCAGTTGCACGCGATCGGAGCCATTCCAGCGTCCGCTGCGCATCCCCGGCGGCACGACGGTGGCCGGCGCTTGCGCACCAGCCCCGTCCGCCACCGGGTCCGCGGCCGCGGTCCCTGTCATAGCTACGCGTGCCATGGATCGGCGGTTACAGATGGGGGCTCGCTCGCACCTCGACCGGCAATTCGACCTCTCATAGACCAGCGGCCAGCGCGCAGCGCCAAGAATAAATATTTTCTTCTCAATTAAAGGTGGTCCGTGAATCAGGAGAGGTGGAGGGGCCTTGTGCCGCGCGCGTGTGGTCCCCACCACTCCTCGAGCACCACTCGAGACCGCTCCACTCTCCAGAGAGCAGAGTCCAGTGGCAAGTGCTCCAGTCTTCTCAACGACAGTCATTCTCTCCGAGCCTGACTGTCGTTTCGCCGATTCTTCTCTCTTGGAAGCGCCCTTTGTTTACAACCGCAAAGCCTTGGTTTGCAACATTCAGGGAAGGGGGCGAGAATCATAGCGGATGGGGGCGAGCGCACGCGAGCGCGCGAGATGGAGAAACGACAACCAAACGAGCGAGAGCTCGCTTACGAGACGCCAACCAGGATTAATCATGCCAACTTGCCGTGGCTGGCTGGGTAGCTGGGTGTGTGGTTGACGTGTGTGTGTCTCGCGCCGCGGACGGCCGGGAGTTTGGCCCCGCCGGATCGACATCGGCTGCCGTGGAACTGCCCCACCAGCAGGCTTGAGGCGCACTTCAGGCGTACTTCGTCGCCGGCACCGTCTTGAGCATCGGGTTGGCGAAGAACATGAGCTTGACGCCGGTAAGGGCGAGCCAGGCGGCGACGAGGTAAAAGGGCCGCGGGACCAGCACCTGCAGACATAACCCCGCCCAGACATCCAGCCGAGGTGTAGCCGAGATCTACCCGAGCTCTAGCTGAGATGTAGCCGAGGTCGAGCCGAGATCGCGCCTCGTGATCGAGGACGGCGAAGGTGGCGTGTGCCAGGTTCGCGCCCGCACCGCAGAAGCCGAGGCCGGTCAGCTTTCCGTTGAGCGTGTTCCACCTGCACAGCGCGATCCGCGGCCTGACGTTTTTGAGTGTCGCTGTGCTGTTGTGCGCAGCGCGCCTGACTGTGAAGAGCGCGCAGCCCAGTATGATGGCGAAGCCGCCACAGAATCGCAGCATGACCTCCATCTCGGCGGACAGCGGCCTCTCGACTTCCGGCGGCGCGTCGAAGAAAGGACGCAAGATCGCGTTTGGCGGGAACGGCTGGTAGAGAAGCTCGGGCCGTGCGCACATGATTCCGCCGAGCGCGAAGTGGACGAGCGCAGACAAGTCGGAGAAGTCGCCGTGCGGCATATACACGTGCGTTTGTCCGGAAACCGTGCTCGCTGCACGCTGGAGGAGCGCGGAGAAGGAGAAAACGCGGTGTAAATAAATAAATAAAACGGACAGCTCTACTAGGAGATGGGTAAAAAGGAACAGGTCCCCGCCCTTGCGATCTTTGTGCAGGGTTCTTTGTGGGTGTGGTCGGCGACTAGCCGGGGTCGTCCTCCCGATGGGGGACTAGCACTAGCCGTCTTCCACATGGTCCCTCGGGTCCCTGCTGCTCCTAATCTCTTCGTACATCCTCCTGCTGATCTCCGCAACGTCCTGCTCCCTCCCTCGTCTCGCCCTGCGCGCCTGCTCCGCCTCACCGTCGTCTGCCCTGCGTCGTCTGGCGACTGGTCCTCCATAGTCGGTTGAGGTCGCCGCCCTCCTCGTGCCTCTTCCCAACGCAGTGTGCTCAGCTCTCGATGTGAGGTTACTGACTCCACCCATACCGCGTTGGTGTCCAGTCCGAGCCTGACTGTTCTTCACCTTACTACATACATACATACTGACTGCACTTTAAGGTGCTAGTGTCTGGTGTCTACTAGCCCCGAGTAGAGGGGGCGCTCCGCCGCTACCGCTAGGGGAAACCCTCGGAGACCCGTCCACCGGTGTTTACTTTAAACGGCCCTTTCCCTGCCCGTAACCCGATATCGATCATCCGGCCCGCTGGGTGCGCTTCTTACATCTTGAGAGAGAGATTACATCTTAGCTCCCCGGCCCTGGATGTGAGGTTAATGACTGCACTCCAAGTGCTCCAAAGTGCCGCCACCAGCAGCAGCACCACGAGGAACGCTCGGTCCTGGTAATAAGTATAAAGTAACATCTCTGCCGTCGCGCAGCCCCCCATGGTCGTC